AAAATGCACATTTTCACTCAATATTGCCTATAGTAACTGCAACATTTTGTAATCTTAAGATGGTTTTTAAATAATGAATTGATGGAACGTCAAATTGGTCTCAAACCTGCCTTGATAGTTGAGGCTGGTTCAAACAGATACGAAAATACCAAAGTTTTAAAATCATATTTTTGACCAAACATGTGGCTTTTAGACCCAAATGAGCCAAAAAACACATTTCTCCCAATTTCCAAGCTCCACATCATGCCTAATCTGAAAGTACACATATTAAGCTTACTATTGATGTATGATGTAGGTGTGTGGGGTGGGGCTTTAGGTCGACCCAAATTTGGATTCTGCCGCTCGCCTAATGGACTTGTTTACAACGTGCTCGCAAGGTGCATAGTCGTGGTCGCATATAAGTATCCTAGCTTACTGCTTGAAAATATGGTCCTCAAATAATTATTGATATCTGTTTGTTTTGAAAACGTGCCCCCACAAAAAAAACAGAGAAATGGTGCAAAATCTTTAAAGCATAATGAAATGAAATGTTGAATAAGTGGAATACAAGTTTGCATTGTTCGTGTTGTTCCTCGTTGGTACATGTAGTTTCAAATTAATGTCTGTTCGCGCTTTATTTAAATGGCCCATGTAAGGCGAAGTAAAAAAAAAAAAGTTTCTCGTCCGGGGTTTTTGAAAAAAGGGAGGAAGCGGGGCCTTTTATTTTTTATTTTTATTTTTTCAAGATGGCCGCCATTTAAAAATTTCCTGCAACCGTTGGTTGTGTCAACTGTTCAAAGAGACTTTTAAAATGAAAGACAAGTTGGACAAGAGAACTGAGCATATTTACAGTGTCGGAAAAAATTCGGTACTGGGCCACAACTTTTTTCGATTAATTTTCAAGCGCCAAAAGTTGTATCCTTTGACTTACTTCATCAAGATTCGAACCTCGGACTTTTACTTGAAACACGAGACTCTTAACCGCTAGGCCGCGCACGATCGCTGTTGCAATAATCAATCTTTGGACGTATTTGAAGTAGCAATTGAAATAAACTAAATATTCATGAGAAATAAATATTCATAATGAAGTATTGATCACTACATTGGCCGGCTCATGCGACGTCATGGTTGTCGATGTCATGCGTCATGCGTACCGCTGTCTGTCAGCCACACTTCAATCAGTTTTGACCGGCTGCTTCAACTATAGTTCCGCACGACGTGTGCATCCAAAATGGCTCTAAAAACACATTTTGCCTATTTTTTCCGCATTAACACAGCTTCCTGGATTCCTCTTGGGTGAAATCACTAGGTGAGGTGAAAATTGATGTGTTTAGCGGCAGGTAAAGTCGTGGCCCAGTATGGAATTTTCCCACAGTGTCATTTAGAGTTGTATTGGTATTGGTATTTATTTTTCGATGAGTTTGTGGACTCTTTTTCGGTGTTTTTTTACTACATTTTTCAAAAATAAAAAATATTAAAAAAATCCAGGCGGCCTCCAAAAAGGAAGCGGGCGGGGGGACGAGAAACTTGGTTTTTTTTTACTTCGCCTAACTGACTTTTCTTTCAATGCAATCCCTCAAATGCAGCCTTGTGCATCCATTATGTTCACACTGCCAAGGTTACAGTGTTTTTCCTGTTACAATGTTTTTCCTGGGCCTTAATTGTCGTGCATAAGTTATGAGCAAAACCGTGATGCCATTAGGCAGACGGAGTCTTCAGTGTCACAGCTGTTTCAGCATTGAAAGCTACCGGAATTTCAGGACGATTGCCGTGTTCTTGCTGTCTTTGATGTCTCGTTGTTAAGTACATGACAGTGAGTCACTCGAGCAAACTTAATGCACTAAGTAATGTTGGCAATGACAGCCGGAGCCCCATTAGGGGATACTAATTAATAATGTCACTAATAGACTGTAAAGTGCACCTACAGAAGTGAGAAGTGAGTTCACGGCAAAACGCCCTCAATTGTCAGAAAAGAAAGTAACATTTTCAATGCCCCCAAAAAGTGCATTTTACCAAATTAAAGCCAAGAGGGGCAGCTCTTTATTTTCATATGCAGGTCACAGATGATGGATATCTCAACCTTATTATGTAAATTGCTGATATTGCAGCTATCCTGCCAGTTATTTTCTAAGATACCTCTAAACACTGTGAAAATTTAAAAGCCTCGGAGTGATTATTTTCGGGCTACTACCAGCAGCGAGTAAAGTTGGCCTGATTTTGTTTTGCATGTTTTTTTTGGAACTCGATCGGTCCCAGTCTGGAAAACAAGAGCCTGCTTCCTACATTCCCTGCAAAACGTGTTTTTATTTTCGAATTCGGATCCCCAGAAAAGTGGTTTAAACTATTTACAGTGATGTATTAACAGTACTTTGATCAAAATTCAATGGTACGTTTCGAGGTTTTAATGGCAATGTGACAACGAGATAGCACCAAGTCAGTACGTTCACTCCGTTTGTTCGATTGATAATAAGGCATTTCATTCTAGCTGCGCGCCTTCAACACTGAAGCAATTCACACAATCTTGTCAAGGAGGAACGACCGTGACTTATCAGATTCTGAAATCATCCATCGAAGAAAAGCACGCCCTCTATCGCTAGATTATACTTTGACGGGAATGTATAAGTGCACACAGGAGTGCGCTATTTGGGGAAGTTAAACTCTTTCGTATTTACACACATTAACCCTCTGAAAAAACAAACGCCCGCATATTGTGTCGATGTCTGCCATAAAATAATCAAAAATGCTGATGGATTTTGAAAAGGCTGATGGATAGACAAACCACAAACAACTGCTACAACATGAGAAATATTACAACGCGCACAATGCAAGCATCCTGATGACATACCAGATTTCTCTCCAAAAGGCCCAACTATACTTCACTAACTTCGTCTTGTTTTCGTGGCCTCAACTTGTACCCATCCCATAATGCAATAGATCGCCTGAAGTGTTTGAGAACAACTTAAGATCCTGTTGATCGGGCTTAATGTGAAGAGTTTAGGGCGGGGAAGCACAGAGAGGGTTGGGTCACGGATCCTACACACAAGGATTAACGACTATGCGTGATAACGGCCCGTACTGGTGGCAAATACCATGAATAATGTACTTGTCAACAAGAGAAAACCGGCTTTCAGATTTGCAGGCTCTGCGTCCGATTTGCTGGTGTCGAAGTCTGTCAAGCCAGCTTATTATATTTTTGAATATTAATGAGTCTACTTTTGATTGAATTCTGATAAGTAATAACTACATCACCATGTTAACGCCGAGCACAGTATCTTTAGCTTCAAAATGAACTATGAAATGTCGCATTTGTTTTATCGGTTCGGGACCACATCTCTCTCAAACGTTTTAATGAAAGCCGAATTAACAACGAAATTTGGGTAAACGGTGTTCTCCTCGAAATTAGACGTTTATTTCCCGGGTAAATACTTCATCTATGACGACAATAACTGCTAAGTACTATCTGTTATATCCTGAAGTACATAATTTTTTTTTTACAATTTTGGAACTTACATAACGAGTAGTTTTGCTCACAGTTTTTTGAGTTTTACAAAATTAAGTCCCCTTTCCCTTACATTTATTTACAGGCAAATTACAGGCGTACTTTTAACAACAAACAGGAGGAAAAGAACAGCTATAACAAGATCACTTGTACGTTGGTACCTTGTACCTAAGGCCAACTCCTTCCAATTTACGAGAACGTTAGTCGTGGAGTTTGCGGGCAAGGTAGCGCTACTAAGCTTACTAGACGGCGCGTGGAAAGCGGTGAAGCTGGTCATGTCGGGCGCTTTTTTTGTCATTCAAAAGATGGTTTCCAAAAAAAATTTAAAAATTGCTTTATTATATAACAAAAATTATGTTCATTTTTAAACTGAACACAACTGAACACAAGGGGGGGACAAAACCATAATTTGTTGCCCTGAGTGAGTGGCCACGTTTATCATTGGCCGATTTAAACACTTTTCTCCGGTGTTTAAAAGAGAATGGAGCCAGCCATAATGGCGATGCTCTTTACCAATGAAAACTATCATATATATAAATGAATGCTAATTAAAAAGTTAGAAAAAGCTTGACTTCACTTGACATTTTTTTGTTACCATACAGTGACATTTTAAAATCAAACTACGTGTAGAACTCTGAGTATAGACCTACTGTTTTATGCAACATCAATCTCACCAGGCGTATTGTAACTACAAAATCAGTAAAAAGATGGGTTTCAATTATCGATTCCTTTCGATATCGATTATTTCCTGTCCAGTTATCGACTAATTCAATCAAAGTGATTAATAGCAGCCAATCACTTCAAACCTCATGCTACAATGCTTGTTCCATGCAGTGGGGTGAATGTGCAGGATTCGGGTGCGCAATGCCAATGGGAACCGTGCGGTTACCAACGTGTTCCTGTCCGAGTTACCAGCGAACTGCAACAAATCAAAATGGTTGACTTGTTTAGCGCACCCTGTCGTGCCAAGTTATTATCATTATTGTATTCAAGGACTACTTATTGTGATGGTAAATATTGCTGCACAGCAAGAAAATGGGGATTTTTTTCATCACCATAGAACCGAGTTATCTGTGCTACGGTTTTACTCCATTTTATTATTAAAGACACAAGCTTCACCTCCCAAATTTCGATTGGTCTGAGATATTTTAACCGAGATAAGCAGGGTTTTCCAAACATCGGCTTTCTCCCCAGCTTCGGGTCCCTCTGTTGCTCCTGAATCATAATAAAACCTTATAATATCGAATTCTTACATGAGTATTTGGTGTTCATATTTTGGGCTTGTTGAACCGACGTCATTCAAGGGGCAAGTCTTCTGCAGCCATGTTCGGAGTTGAAGTCGAGATTTGAAAAACCACGAAACTATTTAACAGTGATTACTATACTTTATTTGTGTGCCAAACGCATCAGTCACTTGATCCCAGGACTGAGCGTCATCACTGTACGACACTTGGTGCTCTGTCACCCATTGGTTGTATCGATCACCACGCCCCTGGGTGATCAAACCAGTGATGGTGACTGTACCATTGAAGTCAACCTGTATCCATGGACTGTCTTCAGATCCATCATCACACCAGGGCTGCAGCTAATCCTGTTCAACAAAATAACTGACTTTATAACACCTCATCCACAGATTCTGTGTCTTGATTGGCCGAGAGCGAGTCACATGGTACTTTCTATTTTTGCTATTTTTCTGTACACGGCCAAAAGTACTTTACCCGTGGCAACCAAAGTACTACCATAATGGCAATCAAAGTACTATCCGGTTCGTAAGTGTGACGTCATCTCAACTTAACCATGCGTACTTGTACTTCACGTTGTGAGCATAGCACGAACGGAACCGGTGCCATTTGAAAAATCGGACTCGTGTGAAAATCGGACTCTTTTTCCTTTTATTGGTTAAACCCTCTCACGTGACCGGTCCCTCTCCTAATTATCTATGCATGAGCGTGCGCAATACCATCAATGAGTCCGTATTTCATAAAACATAAATTCATGCTACACCGGAGGCAAATTGAGTGTTTAGCCAATGGGCGCTTGTAATCAGTGGTTCGCGCGTGTGTATGACGTTTTACTAACAACCGGAGAGAGTACCGAAGTAAATATACATCACGTGCACAATAATGGTGTGTGTAAAAGTCGTTAACGCGCAACCTCGTCCCCAGTGCTTTCTTTATTTCCAACCTCGTTTCCAATAGTAAGCCCTGGATAGGAAACTTTCTTCCTGTATCCTGATTCGTTGCCGCAATTGGCTAATAATGAATTTATATCGTATAGTAGTTGGTGTTTCCAACATGCATTACGTGTTTTCACGATCATTGTAATTATAACGTCCACGCCTTCTCAATAATACTCCTTTTTCTTTCCAGTTTGCTCATATAGTAATATGATATGTGATACTGCATATTGGTGGGCCAGATTGTAACATTTTAACTTCCAAAAAATTGTGTTTTCTAATTCACGGCGCGACGAATTGATGCTGTTTTTACCCCAGACACCGCATACAAAAAGAAACGCTAATGTAACGCACATGCAGGTACCAGATTATTCCTCATTTGCATACGTGTGCAAAAATCTTGCACACACGGATCCATACCAGGGTGATAGAGCAGGTAGTGGTGGGCGCGTACTGCACGACACCCTGGGACCGAGGTTGATTAGCGCGTGATTCAGCCCGTGAACCAACACGCGCACGTACTCCATTCGTTTGCATGCACTACACTTCCCGGTTCAAAATGACTTCACAATTCAGTACTCAATACCCAGGGCGCGGTATTACATGACCAAAGAAGGTCACAATAAAGAACTCTACAAGAAAACCAACGAGATGTCTTGGAGTAAAGCCATTACCAGGAGACGTCTTAGGTAGACAGGCCATCTCCTGAGACTGCCCGAGGAAACACCTGCAAGCGCTTCTAGAAGCGATCCGCAAGAACAAATAGCTGCCAAGAGGTGGATAACGAACCACGTGGTTGAATACAGTAAACACGGACCTGACAACCACGGGGGTCAACATCAAAGATCAACACACCTGGCACGTGGCATCAGACAGTGAGCAGCGGAGGACACTTACAGAGTGCGTGTCAGTATACAAATAACGAATGTTTGTGAGTGCGATGGTAAGAATAATATCATGAGGTGACAGATTGAATGTTCTATTCCACGAGGCGAAGCCGAGTGGAATAGAACATTCAAGTGGAATAGAACATTCAATCTGTCACCGAATGAAATTATTCTTTCCATCGCACGAACGTAAAACATTCGTTATTTGTTTTATACAACACCTGAATAAATTCTCGTCATTTGATTGGTAAATTATAAACTACAATTTATTTTGATTTTAAAGATGTTGAACTACCCCTTCACGAAAATGTTTGAACCCAACGCTGTAGCGCTGGCTCTTTGGAACAATACGCGCTACGCTGAACGCGCACACCAGCATGCATTTTGCACGCAAATACCGCGTCATGGAACAAGCGCAAAGTGAAACGGTATAACGCATGGGTATAACGCATGGTCGCACCGTGCATTATACCGAATAATAATATGTCACGTGATCTACAATTCACAAATCAGATGACGGGGATTTATTCAGGTGTTGTATAAATCTACTTGACGCAAGCTCCTGGATGATGGCGCGGTATTATATTTTTGTGCAAATGCTGGTGTGCGCGTTGAGCGCAGCGCATTATTGTTCCCAAGAGAGCGCACCACTGAGTTAGGTTCGAACATTTCATGAAGGGGGCGGTTGGAAGAGAGAAATAGAAATTTCCCACCAATTTTGTATTGAAATTGAAGTTTCTTTTAACTGTGTTAAGATTTAAATAATTTAAAATATTAAAACCAAGCAGAATATGTGGGTGAAGTGTTTAAAACAAATATTGAATGCTTTATCTCGTGGTGAAGTTAAACTAGCCCCCCTCGGTGATCCATGGAGCATTCTATTTCATGGATCACCTTGGGAGGCTAGTTTTACTCATAGAGCTATATTCAGCGCTAACTCATGTACAAAGTGATGCCTGCTGGGCGCATCCATGTTTGTACACAACAGTGTTGTAGGTCTCGAGACCGGTCTCGGTCACGGTCTCGAGACCACTTTTTGCCAGTCTCGGTCTCGGTCTCGGTCTCGGTCTCGGGAACTGTGGTCTCGGTCTTGGTCTCGGTCTCGGTCCCCTTTGGTCTCGATATTTTGGCTGGTCTCGAGTCGAGACCAGCCAAAAAGTGAGGGGCGGATTCCGCCCCCGGCCCTTTTAGGGTTAAGTAAAGAATCAGTTTAGGGCAAATGTGACTGCGGTGTGATGCTAATGGACATGTCTCTCTTCACTTTCTAGTGAGTGAGGCATAGTCCAATAACCATTGCTCCTCTTCTTATTTCTCGTTTTTATTGTGGGATGATCTGTTGAAACAAGCACTTTATAGCCATCCTCATTGATTCCAAATACAACTGAGATTTAAATCTTATGAATCAAGACTGAAACATTATTTTTACCGTCAGATTCTGTATTTTGAATATGGGGAACAATTTAACTCTTTTTCCCTAGAAATATTGGTGATTTTTTTTTCTATTTTCCTTTTCAATTTTTCCTTTATTCGTGGGGGCGGGAAAACGTTTTTTTTTTCCATTATATTTATTAATGGATATTCATCAATTCGTAGACCGTTAAATTGGTGTTAGTGGTGGACAGCTGAATTTTGTGATCTCTTTATTAAAATAGACACGACTTGGGAATAGAGTATGCAAATTACGTGAAATGTTCACAGTTACTACTCAATAACATGTTCTTTATCCCAATTATATTTTTTACAAAATGGAGCGTGCCATTTTTTTTATCATACGGTCACTTTCTTTAGACTCGCCATGTATTCATCTTTTCATCTGTGATAAACACAAATTGAGCTACTGCCATGGTCACACAAAAATAGAGTCTAATTGCCTGTCTCGTCTCCTTCCTAAATGTCAATTGCATTTGCATGAGTCGAGAAGAATTGTGTTCCATTACTCGCAATATGTCGTACTTGTATTCATCTTTTCATCTGTGATAAACACACATTGAGCTACAAAAATAGAGTCTAATTGCCTGCCTCGTCTCCTTCCTAAATGTCAATTGCATTTGCATGAGTCGAGAAGAATTGTGTTCCATTAATCGCTATATGCTGTTTACAGCCATCACAATAAACTATTAATATATTGGCAATATGTCGTACTTGTTAACAGTGGCGGAGATTTCTTGTTACAGGTGGGGGGGGGGGATGATTTTTGAAAGGCCATCCTTGTGTGGAACGCGACACGGCACGGGGTCCAAGAAACCGCTGAAGGGCCCCCTGGTGGGTTGCAGGCGCAAAGCCCTTGCAAGGGGTTGAGGTAACCCCCCCCCCCTGGAGCCCCTGGGGTTTACACAATTTTAGGTGCAAAATGGTGTCAAAATTCAATCTTTTCTTGAGCTTGAATTGCAATAAATGACAATAATTAACACTTTCAAGCATAAACAAATATAAAAGATCTTCAAAACTAAAATTTCTCATCCAATGTATTTGGAAGTGTAGGCCTAAGCTATCTTTGCACAATGGAGCTCTGGTCACCTAGCAACACAAATAATGCCTATGCATTATTTTAAGTATAATTATTTACAAAATAATTAATGCAAAATAATGCCTAGATGCATTTTGGTAAGGTATGATTAGAATGTGACGACAGTTGCGTAGCCAGGATTTTTTCAGTGGGGGGGGGGCCGCTGGGGGAGGCTGGAACATTTCATGGGGGGCGTCATGTAGGGGTGTCAATCGCTTCTCAAAAGTGGGGGGGGGGGACATACCTTGATCAGAACTGATGCGAGCGCGAAGCGAAGCGCGAGCGCGAAGCGCGAAGCCCTTACGGCGTGGGGGTTCGGGGCCCGCTTAAGGGCTCCGAAAAAATTGGATTCTAGATGTTCTGTGGTGTGATCTGAAGCAATTTCTTACCACTTTCCTCCATGCTTTAACTAATATTTTCTTAGCAAAAGATAATTATTTGAACATCGTTTTCGAGGTTGGAGTCATTGAATCAGCTATCGGTATTCTGAGCTATATGCGTGGGGTTCGGGGCCCGCTTAAGGGCCCCGAAAAAAATTGGTTTCTCGATGCTCTGTGGTGTGATCTGAGGCAATTTCTGACCACTTTAACCAATAATTATCTTAGCACAAAAGATAATGTTTTCTCAGCTAAAGGCATAAGAAAAATTTTTGAACATTGTTTTCGAAGTTGGAGTCATTGAATCAGCTACCAGAATTCTGAGCTATAGGCGTGGGGTTCGGGGCCCGCTTAAGGGCCCCGAAACATTTTTGGATTCTAAATGCTCTGTGGTGCTATCTGAGGCAATTTCTGACCACTTTAACCAATATTTTCTAAGCAAAAGATACATTGTAGTACATAATAGGGCCCTGTAAATGAGACACGAGTTCAAAAATCTGGGGGGGGGGGGGGACATTTCATATTGTGTCCCCCACCCTTCAAAAAGGGGGGGGGGGGACCAGTCCCCCTGTCCCCCAGGATTGACGCCCATGGCGTCATGTAGATCAATGATAATTTTTTTAGAAACTCAAAACCTCAGTGGGGGGGGGGGGGGGCGACTGGGGGGGGGGGGTGACAAGGTTTCATGGGGGGGGGGGCTGTCGCCCCCACGCCCACCCCCCCCCCCCCGTGGCTACGCCACTGATTTCAAGGAATTTTAATTGGTCTATTATTATTATTTAGCTTATATGAATGGAGGAAAAAGTTTGTGCGTGGCCGATTCGCGTGATATCGCTGACTGAAACTGTGTGACCCACGGACCACCTGTCTATAATACGTGTTCCGTGGTGTGGGCGAGCAGTGCAGTGGGTGTTAATACGCATTTTAGATTATCATTATGCGCTATGTCACGCCGGTTGTCAGCTTACTGGTCCGCGGTCGCCGGTCGAAGGGTCGTTTCTCAATGGTCATCATGTGGATCATTCGCGACTATTTAGATTTAGATCAATGATAATTTTTTTAGAAACTCAAAATCTCAGTGAGGGGGGGGGGGGGGGGGCGACTGGGGAGGGGGGCGACAAGGTTTCATGGGGGGCGGTCGCCCCCACGCCCCCCCCCCCCCGGTGGCTACGCCACTGCATGCATGAGAGAGTTGTTGCGGCGGTCCTGTTTATAATCCTCTGCTAATGAATACATGTACATAAAATGGTGCGGCTTATACGATGGTGCGGCTTATACGCTGCGGCTTATACGATGGTGCGGCTTATACGCTGTGGCCTGAATCTTATTCTGAAGTTTTTGGAGCGCTGCGGCTTATACACAGGGCGGCTTATATTCCAAAAATTACGGTAAGCGAACGACACTTGCACTTGCTGGGCTGCGGTGCTGGCCTGTCAAAGGGTATTGGCAAGTTACGGACCCTGCCCAAATTAGTACGCCTGCCTTTAAAAAGTGGGGGGGGGGGGATGATTACATTGGTCATCCCCCCCTGGTCAAAAGGTGGGGGGGGGATATATCCCCCCATCCCCCCCCCCCCGGGATCTCCGCCCATGCTTGTTAATCACTAAAATATTCAAGTAAATTGCCCAGCAAAGTAGCCGATGCGGGTGATACGATGGCACGGTAAAAAAAACACAGAGAGGCGTGGGCACTGAGCCATGAATCCTAAAAGTACATCTCACCCACCACAGTCAGTTTGTGACAGCGCCCTTCTATTGTATCGGCCATATTCTCAAATAGGCTAATGGCGATGATGACGGCGGGCAGATTAACAGAAGATAGATCAGGCAAATATGGTTCATCGAACTTCTATAGTTCATGTAATGGTATTGACATTAAACAAAAATAAAGTGGCATTACATTTCAGCCTTAGCCAGGCCTTCTTCAGAGGTAAATGACAGAGGAACAACTGAAGAAACAAACATGTAGGGGACACACAAACATGCAGGGTTGGAAGGAGAATCACAAAGAGGGAGGGGGGGGGCAGACCAAACCATATCTGTCTGGCAACCATCTCTCAATTTTTTGGTCTACATGTACAAATCTATATTCCATGACTGAAATTTTAAAAAATAAATCAATATTTTCTTGCTCCAAATTGTTTTTGAATCAGGTTTACAAGGAGGTCCAATGTAAAATTAAAGTTGCATTTAAATATCCGTTAGTGGTCATTGCTGAAACCAAGGGGTGGCTGTGGAGTTTAGGGTCCGAGTTCCTATAACAGATGAAACATCCACCTTTATTTTTTTACTTTTGTCAAGTTTCAACATGTTCAAGTTTTGCAAAAACTAGTACAAATTGTCGTACTCCTAAGTTAGAGTTTCTTCATCAGATTTACACTTTATAGTAGTTGAACAATATTTAAAAATTTTTTTTTTTTTAAAGTGGCAAAAATATATGGAGTTTATCAAATAAGGTTTCCCCCTTCTTTAAATTAGGTTGTTTCCAATTTTTTTAATTGATTGTGACAATAACAAATTCTGTTGCCATGTTGTAATTTATGGCATGAAGCAAACACGAAGAGCACTCGCATGACACAATTAAGCAGGTACAAGTGATTCCTAACTTTCAATCACTTCCTTCACATCCCCATGAACATCAACATCTCAAGCACAGACTGTTCAGCTGTAATTAGGGTCTTGTTGTTTATTTAGATTATTGTTATTTATTATCCGCGGTCTCGGTCTCGGTCTCGGACCATTTCGGTCTCGGTCTCGGTCCACCTTGAAGGGGCTGGTCTCGGTCTCGGTCTCGGTCTCGCAACTTCAGGTCTCGGTCTTGGTCTCGGTCTCGGACTATCCGGTCTCGACTACAACACTGGTACACAAACCTATGGAGAACTCGAAATGTTGTACTTTTTTGTAAGTCTATTTGCATATCTGCGTTTGTATTCCATACCGGTGGTTATCGAAGCCAATACGCCAAAAACCGAAACACACGATCAGCAAATGAGCGTGTCATTTTGCTCTACGCTTTCACCATGGTCTATTATACACAGACTAGGGGGTACCCCGGGGGAACGGACATCCGCTGCCCCCCCCCCCCCCCCCCGTAGTTACGCTACTGCATTTTCTTAATAAAGTTCTTCGTGTAGCACTTTCAAAATCTAGGATATGAAAGCCCAATTAATAAGATTTTTGTAGTACAAGAATCATTCGAATCACTCAGGCACTTTTCAAGTTACGGAATTTTAAACACAACCCCCGTTTTAAAGTTCTGACCACGGATCACCACAAAAAAGTGTGTGTTCTTTCAGCAAAACGAAAACAATGCACACACATCCCTGTGCAAATTGTTTTCGTTTTGCTGAAAGAACACTTACTTTTTTGTACTTGAAAAGTACATATGATTTGAATGATTCTTCTACTAAAAGAAAGTTTATTAATTTGGCTTTTATATCATACATTTTTGATATTGCTACATGCAGAACTTTATTGAAATAAATTGGTCGTGCCATTTGGGTTTCCTTATTTATTTTTTTTACTCGCCCTGTATATATAGGGAAAAAATGAAATGAAAACGAAAGCAAATATATTTTTCGAGGTGAAACTCGAAAATAACACGGGAAACATGTATTTAATCTCACTAAATCCAAAAAGCCTACCTTGAGTATGAAGCCTGGCCCTGGGTGGGGCATGAGTAGGGAGGTTTCTGTAGAATGACGAAGCTGTGATGCTTTCATCCGGAATGCGACCATCTTCCATCCCAAGAGGTCCCTCCACGGAGCAAGGAGAGTCACCTGAGGAAAAGGTGCGATCGCTTTGAGAAGTTTTGTACAAAGTAACCATTAATATATTTTTTTAAAGAACATACAGTGAAATCTCGACAATACAAGTCAAACTCTGATAACTCAAAACCGTCAATCCATTCCCTTCAGTAGTATAACAATGATATACAACCCTGCTCAACTCAAAACTCTCCTGAAGTCAAATTTTGAACCTGTTCCCTTGAGGTTTGGCTTATCAAGATTTCACTGTAGTATTGGTCTATTTGCAAGTGAAAGTTCAACGGGGAAGAAAGAATCGTTTTCTTCCGTTTAATGGCACGAGTAGATAGTTTCGGATGCATAATTATGTGCCTCTTCCATCCTGCTCAACATTGAAAAACCAGAGCTTTGTCAATCCAAAGTGTGTGTCCTCTTCAGTAACAAGAGGACCCAAATGAGTTGCTATAAAATATACCTATCACAAACATCTTGGGAAACATAAAGATCATATGCTTATTTATATTATAATTATTCTTCGACGGCTTACCAGGATTTCAATTACAGTAAAAACAAAAATCCCTTCAAGTGCTGCTTGTTGCATTAGCTTTGAGCCTTTGAAATGAAACAGTAACACAATCTCACCATTTCTTTTGAAGTATTTCAACTTCTCTTCGTTGACTGAAACGATCGAGTCATCGCTCAATTCACACCGTCTGGTATCTTTGGTATAACTGAAGTATTCGCAGTATTCTTCCTTGAGGCAGGCCGCGGCACACCTTAAGTAGGAGGCTCGTTGGCTTGACCGAATCACTCGATATTTGACGGTGCTGTTGAACTGTGAAACAGCCGTGAAATCCGAAGATTTCACGGTAGGGAGATTAGAGCCAGCTCCGCTCTGAACCACGCAGACAACAAAAAGAACGAGGCACCAAACAAGACGACAATGTCTTGGGTGATAAATAGGAAAATTCATTTCGTTTCGTTTAGGTTTGTTCAGCCATATAATACTCACATGTAGGCCACTTCGAAACTGTTTCAGATTGTGTTGCAAACAGCGAACGGCGAAAGATCGTATACTACGCTGGCAATATTAAAGGCACGAGTTTATTGATCACCAAGTCACAATCGACAATAAACGGATGATTAAAGCCAGGCCCGTGGTAAAAAAAAAGCAATGACAATAGCTGCGCTGCTAATAGCTTTCTCGCACGCATAACGTGTTCCGGCATGCGCATTGTCACTGCTTGAAAAAAATGAAGGTCTTCAAAATAACTACTGAGACCTATTTATCTTGAAAACCTCCACACAAATATTGAAGAAGTCGACTTCAAGTTTGAATAGGCTTTGTCGTTCCTCTCGTTTACACTTAACTGGAGGAGATTGAATTCTAACGAAAGGAAGCAATAGTCAATCGGACATTTCGTTGACAAGCTGTATGGTTGTTTAAAGTTTGCATTTATTTACATGTCAAAAGGAAATACTGAGAAAAGGCCTTTAAAGTTTCGATTGTTTTGCAGTCGTGATGATAAAAGATATCATTTCTTGTTTACCTTTAAAACACTTTTTTTCACGATTTTATACCATTTATTTAAAAAATGTGTAGTAAACATATCAAAGATTGCAAATATCAATAAATAAACATCGAGAAAAAAATACCCCCATTGTTTTGTGTTTTTTTTTTTTTTTTTGGGGGGGGGTTTGGTATATTTTTTTCCACTGCGGCTGTGCTCATGCCGTTTCCTCTTATTTTGCCAAAATGCCTCATAAATATTATGTTCGCAAAAGGGGGAAGCCTTACACTTTAACCTTCTCCAGTTATTGGCAACATGAACGAGTTCCCATACCAGGGGCGGCGGAACGGGGGCGGGGGGCAGGGGGGGGGGGGCACTGCCAGATTTTCCCAAGTGCCGTCTTGCGGACATAAATGTGGCCCCTCGAGCATAAAACTCACATTTCGCATAATTTGTTTTCAATAACCATTTCCTAAAACCCTAACAATGCGCCCTGAAAATGGGCACATTATTCGTAGTTTGCATAATGGCCGGTTTTGAAGAGCGCCCCCTATTTTGGAAGATTGTACCAGCACCCCCCCCCCCCCCCCCCCCCCCCCCACGCCACTATTTAATTTTACGGAGGCCAAGTGTCCGGTGAAAAAAAACTTGTCGACATTTCAGGACGGATGTGCAAAAAAATACCAAAAATGCTTGATACGCTGCTGCACCAGCGAAATATGCCTTTGTGCCCCTTTTTGGTGATGCCCCTCCCCGTTTTGAAACGTTCCACCGCCGCTGTCCCATAGGTATTTGAAGGCCTCGGCTTTATTGCTCAAAAATTAATTTCAGTTTAATACTTCACAACAAAAACACAAGGTATTATATAGTGAATCTTCATGCATTCGTGCATTTCACCGGTGACCGGTTTAAACACTTTTCTGCGGTGTTTAAACGATGGTTTAGAGCCAGCCACATGGCGATGCTCTTTACCAAAAAGAATGGAGAAACTACCATAATGTATAAATGAATGTTAAATAAAAGTAAGAAACAGCTTGACTTCACTTGACATTTTGGTTACTTTAAAAAGTTTATCACACAGTGAAATTTTAAATCAAACTACGTGTAGAGTTCGGAGTAGACCTACTGTTTTATGAAACATCAATCTCACCAGGCGTATTGTAACTACACAATTAATATAAAGATGGGTTTCAATTATCGATTCCTTTCGATATCGATTATTTCCAGTCCAGTTGTCGACTGATTAAATGCGATTAATAGCAGCCAATCACTTCAAACCTCATGCTGCAATAGTTGTGCCATGCAGATGGGTGAATGCGTAGGATTCTGGTGCGCAATGCCAATGGGAACCGAGCGGTTACCAACGTGCTTCTGTCTGAGTTACCAGCGAACTGCAACAAATCAAAATGGTTGACTTCTTTAGCGCACCCTGTCGAGCCAAGTTATTATCATTATTTTATTTGAAGGCAATACTTATTGTGACGGTAAATATTGCTACATGGCAAGAAAGTGGGATTTTTTTATCACTCGAACCGAGTTATCAGTGTAAGGATTTACTCAATTTTATTATTTAAGACACAAACGTCACCTCCTAACTTTCGATTGGTTTGAGAGATTTTAACCAAGAAAACAGGGTTTTCCAAAGATTCTCTTGTTGAACCGACGTCATTCAAAGGGCAAATCTTCTGAAGTCAAATCCGGAGTTGAAGTCGAGATTTGAAAATTCACAACACTATTTCAACAATGAATCCTTTACCTTTATTTGTCTGCCAAACGCATCAGTCACGTGATCCCAGGACTGAGCGTCATCGCTGTACGACACTTGGTACTCCGTCACCCGTTGGTCGTATTCGGAGTCTCCGCGCCCCTGGGTGATCAAACCAGTGATGGTGGCAGTACCATTGAAGTCAACCTGTATCCATGGACTGTCTTCATATCCGCCATAGCACCAGGCTGCAGCATATTCTATTCAACACCATAAAAGATACTAGGGCAGTAAATCTGGCTCCAATATGAAGTTGTTTAACCACAGTCCCATTATCTGCGAACCATCGCTATAGTCGACCATAATTATAGACCAGTCGAAGTCGACTATTCGGGACCAGCCCATACCGAGTAGTCTGAGTATCAAACGTCCTACAACGGAACCCTTTCCGTATCGAACATGTGATATATTTGAGCAATGCAAATTTTATGCGACCCCACACGCCAGCCAATCGGAGTCGACTTTAGAAATTGGGACGTCAGTCGGATCAGAAATGTGGAATAAGCTATTGATTGGTCAATTTGGATGACATGTTTTTGTAATACAGCAACGGGTTACGGTTTCGAGTGTCCCTCTGAAAATTGCAATGCATTTTGCGCATAAATTAATACCCCCCCCCTGCAAAAGCCGATTTATTATTTTACAGCTTATCATTCGAATTATGTGAAGAAATAATTTAATCATACGTCGGTGGATTTCAAAAGTGAATAACTTGTTTACTGCTAAAAACAAATGAAATGAAAGAGCGAAAATTTTTTTTCGGTGAAACTCGAAAATAACACTGGAAGTGTAGATTGAATGTCAAATTAAACAAACCTACCTCGAGTATAAAGTCTGGCCTTGAGTGGGCCATGATCAGCTTGGTTTTTCCAAACAGACGAAGCTGTGATGCTTTCATCCGGGATGCGACCATCTTCCATCCCAAGAGGTCCCTCCACGGAGCAAGGACAGTCTCCTGAGGAAAAGGTGCGATAGTTGTGAGAGGTTTTGTACAAAATAACCATAACAAAACACCAACATAATCTATTTGCCAAGTAAACGTTAAACGAGAGGGGGGGGGGGTAGTTGTATTCAGTGGCGTCACCAGACTTTTCAGTCTGGGGGGGCACAGGGGGGGCACCAGCATTTGATGGGGGGCACTTAGGTGGATACGGATCGCCGTCCTGGGGGAGGGGTCTAAGGGGAGGTCCCCTTTGAAAATTTTCGCATACGGAGGATGGGCTAGATGCAAAATGGTGCCACATTTGATGCTAAATCGATCTGAAGATATCTCCAGAAATTGCTATTTAACCAACTCAGATGATGGGAGTTGAAATAACAAAATATATATATTTTTTTTTACCAACCAAATCTCAGATGGGGGGGGGCACTCGGGGGGCACTAGGTTTTCCAGGGGGGGCACGTGTGGCCCCCTGGCGCCACGGTTTAAAGTGGCACGAGCAGAAAGTTTGGCACGAGGACGAGCAGAAAGTGCCTCTCTCAACCCGCTCAACAATGAAAAACCAGAACTTTGTAAATCCAAAGTGTGTTCTCTTTTGAGTAAAAGGAGCACCCAAAAGAGTTCCCTGCAAATTGGACTCTCCGTACACAATCATCTTGGGAACCACTAAAGATGAATGCTTTTTTATTACAAAATGTGTTTCGACGGCTAATACAGGGTGTACATGTATAATAAAGGGAAACCCGATGCAAATCTAATAAAATATTCTAATAAATATTCTATAAACATCATAAAAAATATAGTAATTTTTTTCAAATAAGTTAAAGATCATGTGAAACGCCAATGTGTCCTCTTTCCAATGATACCTCGAATGCGTGTCTGTGGCTACGATTGACTGAGCATTCGTTATTATTCTGTCAAGGGTCAACACCTGCACTGGGCCAAGTTTGTGCAAAAGGGTAACTGGTATTCTCGGCATGTGGATCGGTTTAATTTAAAGAAAGAAATCCTCCTCTTTAAAACCATCTATTTAATTTTGACACAGCGATTTGACCATTCTCAGTTGTGAAGTTTAATAACCCATAATGGCCAATGCCTTCAACGTGGCCGTCACCTCTTTCCACACAAAGCTCTGCACGAAGTCTAGTCCATTTCAACCTTTGCATAACAAACCAGCAAGCAATCTTAGCTAGGTAAAACTTAACCCAGTGCAGGTTTTGACCCTTGACAGAATAACAAGGAATGCTCAGCCATCCGTGGCCAAAGACACGCAATCAAGGTGTCATTGGAAAGAGGACACATCGGCGTTTCACATCTTTAACTTATTTGAAAATAATTATTTTTATTTTTTAATTTACATTTACATCTGGGTTTCCTTTTTTGATACACCCTGTGTATAAAGATTTCAATTACACTTGAAACAAATCTCTCAAGGATCATTTACTCATCATGTAATTTATTCGATTTCAATTAATAACACCACTCAAAACCAAAAGAAGTCTTTTGAAAACCTAACCTGTTGAAGTTTCAGCTCAGTGGATATTACACTTTTCAAGAAAACAGTGGAAAACCATACACAACCTTTTGATTACGAAAAACCATTTCGTTTATTATCTCTTTCATTTTCGAAAGATCTGTCAATAATTGACTGATCGGTGGAAATCAACTACATTTCTTGACTTCTTCTAAATGAAAGCAATCCAGCAGACGAAATAATTTCACAGAGTGTTTAGAACCGGTACAATCTTTGATCCAGGTATATAGCTTTTTGATAAAAATACTGTAATAATTCTTTGGATAAATGCAAATTTCCCTATGTAAATGTGCCTTTCAAGTTCAGTAAGTTGTATTAGCTTTGAAATGAAATAACACCACAATAAGAAGGTCTTACCATTTCTTTTGAAGTATTTCAACTTCTCTTTGTTGACTGACACGATCGAGTCATCGCTCAATTCACAGCGTCTGGTGTCTTTGGTATAACTAAAGTAGCTGCAGTCTTCTTCCTTGAGGCAGGCCGCGGCACACCTTAAGTAGGAGGCTCGTTGGCTTGACCGAATCACTCGATATTTGACGGTGCTGTTAAACTGTGAAACAGCCGTGAAATCCGAAGATTTCACGGTAGGGAGATTAGAGCCAGCTCCGCTCTGAACCACGCAGACAACCAAAAGAACGAAGCACCAAACAAGACGACAATGTCTTGGGTGACAAATAGGAAAACTCATTTCGTTTCGTTTAGGTTTGTTCAGCCATATAATACCCACATGTAGCTACTTCGAAACTGTTTCAGATTGTGTTGCGAACAGCGAACGGCGAAAGATCGTATACTACGCTGGCAATAATTAAAGGCACGAGTATATTATTGATCACCAAGTCACAATCGCCAATAAACGGATAATTAAGGCCAGGCCCATGGTAAATTAACGCAATGACAAAAGCTGCGCTGCTAATAGCTTTCTCGCACGCATAACGTGCTCCGCCTGCTCCGGTGTGACAGGTAATTCTGTCCCCCCTGGTAAATGTGTCCCCCGGACACATTTACCGGCTCGTGACCCGGTAAATGTGTCCGGGGGGACACTTTTACCTAGGTAAATTTGTCCCTCTCCAGGTAAAAATGTCCCCCTGCCCAACGGTGAAAGTGTTCCCCTGGTAAATGTGTCCCCATGCAGTATGTACTGAGAGCAGCAGCGTGTCGCACGCGCCAGTACATGCTGCAAGATTTGAGGCAGTGATTATAACATGTGTACAAATGCGTCTCCCTCTACAATGGAAATTCGTCCAATAGGAAATTTCGTTACGCGCTATGATGGGAACACAGACCAATCCAAGGAGACGTTGTATCATACTATCAATGATACGAGGGCCATCGCCATGCATCGCCGCTGTGTTAACCTATCGCGGTAGAATCACGATAGACTTCACCGTACTCCGAATCGAAACATTGTGTTCACGTATCATCTAATAGACTAAATTAATTATTTTTATATTCATGAAGGGCAGACTAAAAGTCCAAAAATGTATACCTTGTAGAGTGAATTCATCAAAACAATAACATTCTGGGTTTCAAAAGAGGGGGACACAAAAACCTGGGGGACAGAATTACCTGGAGGGGACATAATTACCTGGAAGGGGGACAGAATTAACGGGCCACGGAGGACACTTTTACCTAGGTAATTCTGTCCCCCCCCCCCGGACACTTTTACCGGGGGACAGAATTACCTTTCACACCGGCATGCGAATTTTCACTGTTTGAATAAAATGCAGGTCTTCAAAATATTTACTGAGACCTATTTATCTTGAAAACCTACACACAAATAATGAAGAAGTCGACTTCAAGTTTGTATTGTCATTGTTGTTCTTCTCGTTTGCACTTAACTGGAGGAGATTGAATTCTAACGAAAGATATTAACGGCACGCGTATTTGTCGCTTATACCAAGTCACATTCGTATACATAACTGCGTTCGGAACGTTGAGAGTTTCCAACTAATGTCTTTTGGCGAAATGGCTCATGTAATTGATTTTTTTTTCAGCGCAATCTACTTAAGCATCCTTGTGCTCCTTGTAATTAATTTTAAAGGTTTTCCGGAGACCTTTATTGCTAATAGTAATAATCATTCCAATATACATGTATTCCTGAGCAACATGTCATTAGGCAGACGGAATCTTCATTGTTACAGCTGTTTCAGGCAGACGGAATCTTCAGTGTTACAGCTGTTTCAGCATTGAAAGCTACCAGAATTTCAGAACGATTACCATCGTCAACTTGCTGTCTTTGGTGTCTCGTTGTTAAGTTCATGACAGTGAGTCACTCGAACAAACTTAATGCACAAATTAATGTTCAATATGAGCCCAATTTGGTTAATGACTGTATGCTATAAAAGTCACCAACAACTGTAAAGTGCACCTACCTGAAGTGAGAACAACTTAAGATCCTGTCGATCGGGCCTAATGTTAAGAGTTTAGGGCGGGGAAGCACAGAGAGGGTTGGGTCATGGATCCTACACACAAGGTGTGATAACGGCCCGTACTGGTGGCAAATACCATGAATACTTGTCAACAAAGGAAAACCTCTGCGCTGCGCGCGGCGGCTTTCGGATTTGCAGGGCTCTGCGTCCGATCCGGTGTCGAAGTCTGTCAAGCCAGCTGATTATATTTTTCAATATTTATGAGTCATTAGTGGAGGGGGACTTCTTAGTACGGTTTGACCTTGGGCATAGAAATATGTAAAGGTCACATAAATATGTAAATATGAAAATATGTAGATATAAATATTAATTAAGGGATGTGGAAATTGTTAACACAGTTTGACCTAATGAATGGATGGGATGAATAGGGAATAGGTGTGGGTATAAGGAACCGGGTACAGTTTGACCAATTATATGGGAAAGATTGCATAAGGTATGGAAAAAAAAATATATATTTTTATGGTACATTTGGATCTTAGCCCGAATATGAGTTTCATACGTTAGTCCCTGTGAACGACCAGCTGGTCGGATCTTTAATCCCCCAACAATAGACGGGAGAGGGCGCGTGCCAAGTCAGCGCACTAGTATTGTTACGAAGTTAATCCGATCGATACAAAAAGTAATTGGATTTCCGAATGCTCGACAGCAGAAAGCAGCGATAGATGGCAAAAATGAATGTTGCGTTGATCAGACTGAAACGAGTACGATTGTCTATTTGAAGACTTATTTTAAAGTCATTTTTATTGGGTTTATGGGTATTGTGCACGTTGCGTTTTCCAAGGTATAAACAAACACTCACCGCAGCATACTTGCAGGGTAAAACCTGTGTCGGCCATGGGGGTATATGATAAATCCACGATCCATAATCCATGCGTCTGTACGGAGACCGGTGGTCGATTACCCCTCGATGATCGCACCGATCCTGGAGCAAATAAATACCGATCCTGGAGCAAATAAATAACTCCGTCCGTGCTCATCCTACTCTATGCCGTAGAGTAGGATGAGCAGGGAAAAGAGTAGGATGAGCAGGGAAAAGAGTAGGATGAGCAGGGAAAAGAGTAGGATGAGCAGGGAAAAGAGTAGGATGAGCAGGGAAAAGAGTAGGATGAGCAGGGAAAAGAGTAGGATGAGCAGGGAAAAGAGTAGGATGAGCAGGGAAAAGAGTAGGATGAGCAGGGAAAAGAGTAGGATGAGTAGGGAAAAGAGTAGGATGAGCAGGAGAAAAGAGTAGGATGAGCAGGGAAAAGAGTAGGATGAGCAGGGAAAAGAGTAGGATGAGCACGGTAAAGAGTAGGATGAGCACGGTAAAGAGTAGGATGAGTAGGAAAAAGAGTAGGATGAGCAGAAAAAAGAGTAGGATGAGCAGGGAAAAGAGTAGGATGAGCAGGAAAAAGAGTAGGATGAGCAGAAAAAAGAGTAGGATGAGCAGGGAAAAGAGTAGGATGAGCAGGAAAAAGAGTAGGATGAGCAGGGAAAAGAGTAGGATGAGCAGGGAAAAGAGTAGGATGAGCAGGAAAAAGAGTAGGATGAGCAGGGAAAAGAGTAGGATGAGCAGGGAAAAGAGTAGGATGAGCAGGGAAAAGAGTAGGATGAGCAGGGAAAAGAGTAGGATGAGCAGGAAAAAGAGTAGGATGAGCAGGGAAAAGAGTAGGATGAGCAGGGAAAAGAGTAGGATGAGCAGGGAAAAGAGTAGGATGAGCAGGGAAAAGAGTAGGATGAGCACGGTAAAGAGTAGGATGAGCAGGGAAAAGAGTAGGATGAGCATGGAATTAAGAGCGCACAGGCACGCAGAGAGCATGCGCAGGGGGGGGGGGGTGTGGAAATGAGCTCAAACAGACAGGTCTCGGCACAATATATATTAAACCAATTCATCCGTTTCTTGTCATTCGTGAATCAGCCTTTATAACTTCAACATGAATACTTTTTCTGCAGTCAAACCCCATGCTTGTAACCAGTGTGATAAAAGCTTTGGACGGAGATATAATCTCTGGCGACATACCGAAAACGCTCATGCTGAAGATGAATCTGAAATGAATGGGGTTAAAGGGAAAATACAACATTTGCAAACATCAAAAAATAAAACTACCAAATCATTTTGAAATACCTTGCTGGACTGGTAGTGAATGACAGTGTAAAGCATCCTGTAAAATCATGGCACCTGGTAAACTGTCATTTTCAAGAAAATTGTATTTTTGTATCAATTTCCAACGCTGATCGGCCGATCAGCGTTGGAAAAAAACTGGCTTTTTTTCAAATACTGGCCCCAGTTGACCATCGTACTTGTTTGCAATCGATTACACACCTATGAACGGGTACAAGCCAGCTAGACTGGTTCCCTGACCTTACAATTCCCCAATGTATGTAAACTGCTCTGTTTCTTCTTATATGGAGTCAGGGAACCAGACTACAGGAAAATGATTGTTTTTCTTGGTTTTTATAGCATTTTTGAACCCAAAACCTCAAAAAAGTCAGTGTATATATTTGCTATATATTTCCAACCCCCCAATTCCATCCATTTCTGAAAATTACAGCAAAAGCAAATGATGTATATTCCCTTTAACGATGATTCTGAAATTGAGGTTATTCAATCTGATCATCCTGACGTGGATGAATCGGGCTCTGAAACGGACTCGGAGGTAGAAGATGACGATGAAGATGAGTCTAGTTCTGAATTAGAAGACAATGCTACTTTCCAAGACTGGTTGGAAGAGTCCAAAGAAGCGACTCGTGAAATGTGGAGCGAAAAACATGAAAAGTACATCAACGAGGGTATAGGTGAAGATCAGGCCAAGGAAAAGGCCGATAGGAAGACCCTCTGGGCAGTCAAGCAAATTTTTTTTGACAAGTACAAGGATTTTCTGTCCAGCTACCTACATCTGAAAGATAACGATACTCATCAAGATATTGTGGACAATCTCAAAGAAAAAATTTATAAGGGCATTAGCGTACAAAAGGCTCTCGGCAGAATTATGCCTAAACACCAAATGAAATTTGACGGACTTTTCCATCAAGATGAAGAAGACGTCAGCGAGAAAGACAGTGATGATTAAAGACTAGTAGTCAACATTACAATGACGATATAATTGCGGCAAAATACATTGGGATAGACAAATAAAAACACGAGTGTTTTAATGAGAAATGACGTCAATAAAGCAATTAATGTCATAACGTATATACTAATTTCTGCAGTTGTATTTTTCTTTGTTTGTGTTGTCTTATCAATCGGAAAAGCCTACTCTCAGTCATAAAATTAGTGCTGGACACGCCCTCTAAATAACCCCCGTAAAATACTCGTAAATGAAAACCAGTCATCCATGATTTTGTAAACAAATCCGGCACGGAGGTACAACTAAGGTTAAAGTGGCACCGTTTTTCCCGTCGAACGCCAATCCCCCCCCCCCCACCCCCCTGAATTTTTAACTATAGATAGGCTATAGCTTGGTTTTGGGGTCGTTCTAGTACGAAATATTATAAAATGCACAGTTGTAAAGGATGGTTGTGTTATTCCGATACACTAGCTCAATCGGGCACTTTCCAGGCCATAGTTCCCTTTAAAAACCACATGCCCGCACGTTTTGTTATGGCTTTAAACCACTGAATCCATTCCTTATTGTACGCGCCTCTGCAATAGAGCCTAATCGATAATTTAGCCGTCACGGTTTAAGAAAACTTGAGCGCTATCTGATCGGACGGCGTGTATACAGTAGTGTGCATGTGTACTAGCAATTGCTCTGGCTGATGCCAAAACCTTCCCTTTTCTACGATCACCGCGCACAGACATATATTTTTACTTGGATGATTCTGGTGGCAGTGTAGAAGAGTGCCATTGGTATTGTATCGATTAACAAGAGGAATATAGGCGCACGGACGGAGTTATTTATTTGCTCCAGGATCGGTGCGATCATCGAGGGGTGATCGACCACCGGTCTCTGTACAGACGCATGGATTATGGATCGTGGATTTATCATATACCCCCATGGCCGACACAGGTTGTACCCTGCAAGTATGCTGCGGTGAGTGTTTGTTTATACCTTGGAAAACGCAACGTGCACAATACCCATAAACCCAATAAAAATGACTTTAAAATAAGTCTTCAAATAGACAATCGTACTCGTTTCAGTCTGATCAACGCAACATTCATTTTTGCCATCTATCGCTGCTTTCTGCTGTCGAGCATTCGGAAATCCAATTACTTTTTGTATCGATCGGATTAACTTCGTAACAATACTAGTGCGCTGACTTGGCACGCGCCCTCTCCCGTCTATTGTTGGGGGATTAAAGATCCGACCAGCTGGTCGTTCACAGGGACTAACGTATGAAACTCATATTCGGGCTAAGATCCAAATGTACCATAAAAATATATATATTTTTTTTCCATACCTTATACAATCTTTCCCATATAATTGGTCAAACTGTACCCGGTTCCTTATACCCACACCTATTCCCTATTCATCCCATCCATTCATTAGGTCAAACTGTGTTAACAATTTCCACATCCCTTAATTAATATTTATATCTACATATTTTCATATTTACATATTTATGTGACCTTTACATATTTCTATGCCCAAGGTCAAACCGTACTAAGAAGTCCCCCTCCACTACTTGAGTCTACCTTTTGATTGAATGCTGATAAGTAATAACTACATAACCATGTTAACGCCGAGCACAATATCTTTAGCTTTAAAATGAACTATGAAATGTCGCATTTGTTTTATCGGTTCGGGACCACATCTCTCTCACACTTTTTAATGAAAGCCGAATTAACAACGAAATTTAGGTAAACGGTGTTCTCCTCGAAATTTGACGATTATTTTCCGGGTAAATACTTCATCTATGACGACAAAAACTGCACAATACCATCTGTTATATCCTAAAGTACATATTTATTTTTACAATTTCGGAACTTACATAAGGCGTAGTTTTGCTCACAGTTTTATGAGTTTTAAAAAATTAAGTCCCCTTTCCCTTACATTTATTTACAGGTAAATTACAGCCGTACTTTTTACACCAAACAGGGAGAAAAAAACAGCTATAACATGATAATTTGTACGTTGGTACCTTGCACCTAAGGCCAACTCCTTCCAATTTAAGAGAACGTTAGCCGACGTTGTGTTTGCGGGCAAGGTGGCGCTACTAAGCTTACTAGACGGCGCGTGGAAAGCGGTGAAGCTGGTCATGTCGGCCGCTTTTTTGTCTTTCAAAAGACATAAAAAAATTGCTTTATTATATAACAAAAATTATGTTCTTTTTTAAACTGAACACAAAGGGGACAAAACTATAATTATATAAATGAGTGCTATTTAAAAGTTAGAAAAAGCTTGACTTCACTTGACATTTTTTGTTACTTTTAAAAGTTTATCCTGCAGTGACATTTTAAATCAAACTACGTGTAGAGTTCGGAGTAGACCTACTGTTTTATGAAACATCAATCTCACCAGGCGTATTGTAACTACACAATTAATATAAAGATGGGTTTCAATTATCGATTCCTTTCGATATCGATTATTTCCAGTCCAGTTGTCGACTAATTCAATGTGATTAATAGCAGCCAATCACTTCAAACCTCATGCTGCAATGGTTGTGCCATGCAGTGGGGTGAATGCGCAGGATTCTGGTGCGCAATGCCAATGGGAACCGAGCGGTTACCAACGTGCTCCTGTCCGAGTTACCAGCGAACTGCAACAAATCAAAATGGTTGACTTGTTTAACGCACCCTGTCGAGCCAAGTTATTATCATTATTGTATTCAAGGACTACTTATTGTGACGGTAAATATTGCCGCTCAGCAAGATAATGGGATTTTTTTCATCACTATAGAACCGAGTTATCTGTGCTACGGTTTTACTCCATTTTATTAAAGACACAAGCTTCACCTCCCAAATTTCGAGATATTTTAACCGAGATAAGCAGGGTTTTCCAAACATCGGCTTTCTCCCCGGCTTCGGGACCCTCTCTTGCTCCTGAATCATAATAAAACCTTATAATATCGAATTCTTACATGAGTATTTGGTGTTCATATTTTGGGACTTGTTGAACCGACGTCATTCAAGGGGCAAGTTTTCTGCAGCAATGTCCGGAGTTGAAGCCGAGATTTGAAAAACCACGAAACTATTTAACAGTGATTACTATACCTTTATTTGGGTGCCAAACGCATCAGTCACGTGATCCCAGGACTGAGCGTCATCACTGTACGACACTTGGTACTCTGTCACCCATTGGTTGTAATGGTCACCACGCCCCTGGGTGATCAAACCAGTGATGGTGACTGTACCATTGAAGTCAACCTGTATCCATGGACTGTCTTCAGATTCGTCATAGCACCAGGCTGCAGCGAATCCTGTTCAACAAAATAACTGACTTTATAACACCTCATCCACAGATTCTGTGTCTTGATTGGCCGAGAGCGAGCCACATGGTACTTTCTATTTTTGCTATTTTTCTGTGCACGGCCAAAAGTACTTTACCCGTGGCAACCAAAGTACTACCATAATGGCAACCAAAGTACTATCCGGTTCGTAAGTGTGACGTCATCTCAACTTAACCATGCGTACTTGTACTTCACATTGTGAGCATAGCACGAACGGAACCGGTGTCATATGAAAATCGGACTCGTATCAAAATCGGACTCTTTTTCCCTTTTATTGGTTAAACCCTCTCACGTGACCGGTGGTTCGCGCGTGTGTATGACGTTTTACTAACAACCGGAGAGAGTACCGAAGTGAATATACATCACTTGCACAATAATTGTGTGTGTAAAAGACGTTAGCGCGCAACCTCGTCCCCAGTGCTTTCATTATTTTTAACCTCGTTTCCAATAGTAAGCCCTGGATAGGAAACTTTCTTCCTGTATCCTGATTCGTTGCCGCAATTTGCTAATAATGAATTTATATCGTGTAGTTGGTGTTTCCAACATGCATTACGTGTTTTCACGATCATTGTAATTATAACGTCCGCGCCTTCTCAACAATACTCCTTTTCTTTCCAGTTTGCTCATATAGTAATATGATATTTGATACTGCATATTGGCGGGCCAGATTGTAACATTTTAACTTCAAAAAAATCGTGTTTTCATAACTCACGGCGCGACGAATTGATGCTGTTTTTACCGCAGACACCGCATACAAAAAGAAACGCTAATGTAACGCACATGCAGGTACCAGACTATTCCTCATTTGCATACGTGAGCGAAAATCTTGCACACACGGATCCAATACCAGGGTGATAGAGCAGGTAGTGGTGGGCGCGTACTGCTCGACACCCTGGGGACGAGGTTGATTAGCGCGTGATTCAGCCCGTGAACCAACACGCGCACGTACTCCATTCGTTTGCACGCACTACACTTCCCGGTTCAAAATGACTTCACAATTCAGTACTCAATACCCATGGCGCGGTACTACATGGCCAAAGAAGGTCACAATAAAGAACTCTACAAGAAACCAACGAGATCTCTTGGAGTAAGGCCATTACCAGGAGACGTCTTAGGTGGACAGGCCATGTCCTGAGACTGCATGAGGAGCACCTGCAAGCGCTTCTAGAAGCGATCCGCAAGAACAATTAGCTGCCAAGAGGTGGATAACGAACCACGTGGTTGAATACAGTAAACACGGACCTGACAACCACGGGGGTCAATATCAAAGATCAACACACCTGGCATGTGGCATCAGACAGTGCGCAGTGGAGGACACTTACAGAGTGCGTGTCATATCTACTTCACGCAAGCTCCTGGATGATGGCGCGGTATTATATGTGTGTGCAAATGCTGGTGTGCGCGTTGAGCGCAGCGCATTATTGTTCCCAAAAGAGCGCACCACTGAGTTAGGTTCAAACATTTCATGAAAGGGGTGGTTTGGAAGAGAGAAATACATTTCCCACCAATTTTGTAATGAAATTGAAGTTTATTTTAACTGTGTTCAGATTTAAATAATTTAAAATATTAAAACCAAGAATCTGTGGGTGAAGTGTTTAAAACAAATATTGAATGCTTTATCTCGTGGTGAAGTTAAACTAGCCCCCTTCGGTGATCCATGGAGCATTTTATTTTATGGATCACCTTGAGAGGCTAGTTTTACTCATAGAGCTATATTAAATTACTCAAGCGCTAACTCATGTACAAAGTGATGCCTGCTGGGCGCATCCATGTTTGTACACAAACCTATGGAGAACTCGAAATTTTGTACGTTTTTTTGTAAGTCTATTTGCATATCTGCGTTTGTATTCCATACCAGTGCGTTATCGAAGCCAATACGCCCAATACCGAAACACACGATCAGCAAATGAGCGTGTCATTTTGCTCTACGCTTTCACCATGGTCTCCTATACACAGACTAGGGGGCACCCCGGGGGAACGGACATCCGCTGCCCCCCCCCCCCCCGTAGTTACGCTACTGCATTTTCTTAATAAACTTCTTCGTGTAGCACTTTCAAAATCAAGGATATGAAAGCCCAATTAATAAGCTTTTTGTAGTACAAGAATCATTCGAATCACTTAGGCACTTTTCAAGTTACGGAATTTTAAACACAACCCCCGTTTTAAAGTTCTGACCACGGATCACCACAAAAAAGTGTGTGTTCTTTCAGCAAAACGAAAACAATTAAATGCACACACATCCCTATGCAAATTGTTTTCGTTTTGCTGAAAGAACACTTACTTTTTGGTACTTGAAAAGTACATATGATTTGAATGATTCTTCTACTAAAACAAAGCTTATTAATTTGGCTTTTATATCCTACATTTTTGATAGTGCTACATGCAGAACTTTATTGAAATAAATTGGTCGTGCCATTTGGGTTTCCTTATTTATTTGTTGACTCGCCCTGTATATATAGGGAAAAAATGAAATGAAAACGAAAGCAAATATATTTTTTGAGGTGAAACTCGAAAACAACACGGGAAACATGTATTTAATCTCACTAAATCCAAAAAGCCTACCTTGAGTATAAAGCCTGGCCCTGGGTGGGGCATAAGTAGGGCGGTTTCTATAGAATGACGAAGCTGTGATGCTTTCATCCAGGATGCGACCATCTTCCATCCCAAGAGGTCCCTCCACAAAGCAAGGAGAGTCACCTGAGGAAAAGGTGCGATCGCTTTGAGAAGTTTTGTACAAAGTAACCATTACTATTTTTTTAAAAGAACATACAGTGAAATCTCGACAAGTCAAACTCTGATAACTCAAAACCGTCAATCCTTTGCCTTCAGTAGTAGGCTATAACAATGATATTAAACAACCCTGCTCAACTCAAAACTATGCGGAAGTCAAATTTTGAACCTGTTTCCTTAAGGTTTGGCTTATCAAGATTTCACTGTATTATTGGTCTGTTTGCAAAGTGAAAGTTCAACGGGGAAGAAAGAATCGTTTTCTTCCGCTTAATGGCACGAGTAGATAGTTTCGGATGCATATGTGCCTCTTCCATCCTGCTCAACATTGAAAAACCAGAGCTTTGTAAATCCAAAGTCTGTGTCCTCTTCAGTAACAAGAGGACCCAAATGAGTTGCCTGTATATACCTATCACAAACATCTTGGGAAACATAAAGATCACATGCTTATTAATATTATACAGTCGACTCTCGTTATAACAAGGTCGATGGGACTAGCAAAATTACCTCTTTGAGACAGGAATGTTGTTGTAAAAGGACAGCGAAACAAAGAAACACAAAGAGAACCTGAGATTTGGGACCTCAGAATTTGCTCTTTATAAGCAGAACCTCTTTATAAAAGTGCTCTTTATAATGAGAGTCGACTGTAATTATTCTTCGACGGCTTACCAGGATTTCAATTACAGTAAAAACAAAAATCCAAGTGCTGCTTGTTGCATTAGCTTTGAGCCTTTGAAATGAAACAGTAACACAATCTCACCATTTCTTTTGAAGTATTTCAACTTCTCTTCGTTGACTGAAACGATCGAGTCATCGTTCAATTCACACCGTCTGGTATCTTTGGTATAACCGAAGTATTTGCAGTCTTCTTCCTTGAGGCAGGCCGCGGCACACCTTAGGTAGGAGGCACGTTGGCTTGACCGAATCACTCGATATTTGACGGTGCTGTTGAACTGTGAAGCCGTGAAATTCGAAGATTTCACGGTAGGGAGATCAGAGCCAGCTCCGCTCTGAACCACGCAGACAACAAAAAGAACGAGGCACCAAACAAGACGACAATGTCTTGGTTGACAAAAAGGAAAATTCATTTCGTTTCGTTTAGGTTTTTTCAGCCATATAATACTCACATGTAGCTACTTCGAAACTGTTTTAGATTGTGTTGCGAACAGCGAACGGCGAAAGATCGTATACCACGCTGGCAATAATTAAAGGCAAGAGTATTATTGATCACCAAGTCACAATCGACAATAAACGGATGATTAAGGCCAGGCCCATGGTAAATTACCGCAATGACAAAAGCTGCGCTGCTAATAGCTTTCTCGCACGCATAACGTGCTCCGGCATGCGCATTGTCACTGCGTGAAAAAAAAATTAAGGTCTCCAAAAGAATTACTGAGACCTATTTATCTTTAAAACCTACACACAAATATTGAAGAAGTCGACTTCAAGTTTGTATTGGCATTGTCGTTCCTCTCGTTTACACTTAACTGGAGGAGACTGAATTCTAACGAAAGATATCAACGGTTATACCAAGTCACATTCCTATACATAACTGCGTTCGGTACGTTGAGAGTTTCCAACTAATGTCTTTTGGCGAAATGGCTCATGTAATTGGTTTTTTTTCTTCAGCGCAATCCACTTAATGCATCCTTGTGCTCCTTGTAATTAATTTTAATGGTTTTCCGGAGACCTTTATTGCTAATAGTAATAATCATTCCAATACATGTAGGCATGAGCAACATGTCATTAGGCAGACGGAGTCTTCAGTGTCACAGCTGTTTCAGCCTTGAAAGCTACCAGAATTTCAGGACGATTGCCGTGGTCAACTTGCTGTCTTTGGTGTCTCGTTGTTAAGTACATGACAGTGAGTCACTCGAGCAAACTTAATGCACAAATTAATGTTCAATATGAGCCCAATTTGGTTAATAACTGTATGCTATAAAAGTCACTAACAACTGTAAAGTGCACCTACCTGAAGTGAGAACAACTTAAGATCCTGTCGATCGGGCCTAATGTTAAGAGTTTAGGGCGGGGAAGCACAGAGGGGGTTGGGTCATGGATCCTACACACAAGGATTAACGACTATGCGCGATAACGGCCCGTACTGGTGGCAAATACCATGAATACTTGTCAACAAAGGAAAACCTCTGCGCTGCGCGCGGCGGCTTTCAGATTTGCAGGGCTCTGCGTCCGATCTGGTGTCGAAGTCTGTCAAGCCAGCTGATTATATTTTTCAATATTGATGAGTCTAACTTTTGATTGAATTCTGATAAATAATAACTACATAACCATGTTAACGCCGAGCACAATATCTTTAGCTTTAAAATGAACTATGAAATGTCGCATTTGTTTTATCGGTTCGGGACCACATCTCTCTCACACTTTTTAATGAAAGCCGAATTAACAACGAAATTTGGGTAAACGGTGTTCTCCTCTAAATTTGACGTTTATTTCCTGGGTAAATACTTCATCTATGACGACAAAAACTGCACAGTACCATCTATTATATCCTGAAGTACATATTTTTTTTACAATTTTGGAACTTACATAACGAGTAGTTTTGCTCACAGTTTTATGAGATTTAAAATATTATGTCCCCTTTCCCTTACATTTGTTTACAGGCAAATTACAGCCGTACTTTTAACAACAAACAGGGAGAAATGAACAGCTATAACATGATCATTTGTACGTTGGTACCATGTACCTCAGGCCAACTCCTTCCAATTTACGAGAACGATAGTCGTGGAGTTTGCGGGCAAGGTGGCGCTACTAAGCTTACTAGACGGCGCGTGGAAAGCGACGAAGCTGGTCATGTCGGCCACTTTTTTGTCATTCAAAAGATGGTTTTCAAAAGACATAAAAAATTGCTTTATTATATAACAAAAAATATGTTCTTTTTTAAACTGAACACAAAGGGGACAAAACCATAATTTGTTGTCCTGAGTGAGTGGCCACGTTTATCATTGGCCGATTTAAACACTTTTCTCCGGTGTTTAAACGATTGTTTATAGCCAGCCATATGGCGCTGCTCTTTACCAATAAGAACTATCATATATATAAATGGATACTAATTAAAAAGTTAGAAAAAGCTTCACTTCACTTGACATTTTTTGTTACTTTTAAAAGTTTATCATACAGTGAAATTTTAAATCAAACTACGTGAAGAGCTCGGAGTAGACCTACTGTTTTATGAAACATCAATCTCACCAGGCGTATTATAACTACAAAATTAGTAAAAAGATGGGTTTCAATTATCGATTTCTTTCGATATCGATTATTTCCTGTCCAGTTATCGACTAATTCAAAGTGATTAATAGCAGCCAATCACTTCAAACCTCATGCTGCAATGCTTGTTCCATGCAGTGGGGTGAATGCGCAGGATTCTGGTGCGCAATGCCAATGGGAACCGTGCGGTTACCAACGTGTTCCTGTCCGAGGTACCAGCGAACTGCAACAAATCAAAATGGTTGACTTGTTTAGCGCACCCTGTCGTGCCAAGTTATTATCATTATTGTATTCGAGGACTACTTGTTGTGATGGTAAATATTGCTGCACAGCAAGAAAATGGGATTTTGTTCATCACCATAGAACCGAGTTATCTGTGCTACGGTTTTACTCCATTTTGTTATTAAAGACACAAGCTAACCTCCCAAATTCCGATTGGTCTGAGATATTTTAACCGAGATAAGCAGGGTTTTGCAAACATCGGCTTTCTCCCCAGCTTCGGGTCCCTCTCTTGCTCCTGAATCATAATAAAACCTTATAATATCGAATTCTTACATGAGTATTTGGTGTTCATATTTTGGACTTGTTGAACCGACGTCATTCAAGGGGCAAGTCTTCTGCAGCCATGTCCGGAGTTGAAGTCGAGATTTGAAAAACCACGAAACTATTTAACAGTGATTACTATACCTTTATTTGTGTGCCAAACGCATCAGTCACGTGATCCCAGCACTGAGCGTCATCACTGTACGACACCTGGTGCTCTGTCACCCATTGGTTGTGTATCGGTCACCACGCCCCTGGGTGATCAAACCAGTGATGGTGACTGTACCATTGAAGTCAACCTGTATCCATGGACTGTCTTCAGATCCGTCATAGCACCAGGCTGCAGCTGATCCTGTTCAACAAAATAACTGACTTTATAACACCTCATCCACAGATTCTGTGTCTTGATTGGCCGATAGCGAGTCACATGGTACCTTCTATTTTTGCTATTTTTCTGTGCACGGCCAATAGAACTATACCCGTGACAACCAAAGTACTACCATTATGGCAAACAAAGTACTATCCGGTTCGTAAGTGTGACGTCATCTCAACTTTAGCCAATGGGCGCTTGTAATCAGTGGTTCGCGCGCGTGTATGACGCTTTACTAACAACTGGAGAGAGTACCGAAGTGAATACATCACGTGCATAATTATTGGGTGTGTAAAAGACATTAGCGCGCAACCTCGTCCCCAGTGCTTTCTTTATTTCCAACCTTGTTTCCAATAGTAAGCCCTGGATAGGAAACTTTCTTCCTGTATCCTGATTCGTTGCCGCAATTTGCTAATAATGAATTTATATCGTGTAGTTGGCGTTTCCAACATGCATTACGTGTTTTCACGATCATTGCAATTATAACGTCCGCGCCTTCTCAATAATACTCCTTTTCTTTCCATTTTGCTCATAGTAATATGATATGTGATACTGCATGTTGGCGGGCCAGATTGTAGCATTTTAACTTCCAAAAAATGGTGTTTTCATAACTCAAGGCGCGACGAATTGATGCTGTTTTTACCCCAGACACCGCATACAAAAACAAACATTAATGTAACGCACATGCAGGTACCAGACTATTCCTCATTTGCATACGTGTGCAAAAATCTTGCACATACAAATGATCCAATACCAGGGTGAGAGAGCAGGTAGTGGTGGGCGCGTACTGCTCGACACCCTGGGGACGAGGTTGATTAGCGCGTGATTCAACCCGTGAACTACCCTTTAGTCAAGTCCCACGCGCTTACCCGGACACGTGACGCAACCCGGATGCTGAGACGTAAAAAGACTAGCGGGGGTGGGGGGGGGGGGGGGCGAAGCCGCGAGGGCCTTTACCATCTCGTGTAGTTTTTTTTTTTTTTACATTTGTCTACCGATTTGGTAGACATGCATAATGCATTACCCGTTGTGAATTGACCAATGAAAATGCAGAATTACTAACGTAAATTAGCCGTCGTCTGGCGCCAGACAGCACGCACGCCATGGCGCGCGTGCTGTTGCTGGTAACCGCAAACCACCGTTAGATGATTGGTTTATATTGCTTGATTTATATTACGTGAATAAATGAATGAGTGATTTGTCCACGAGATAGTAAAGGCCCTCGTTCGCTCGTACCCCCCGCCCTGCAAACAGGACGCTGGGATACTCTGATGAGCTTCACAGAATCTTGTGAAGGAAGTGGTCTATGACCTGTGTATAAAGCATCTGGCTGCAGCTGTTCAAGACCGCAGTTAGACAATGTGCGCAAATGCTATCCGTAAATTTCCTATAGAATTGCGCACATTCCATACCGGATGTGATTTCTGTTTCATTGCGGACCATGTGGACAACATTTTGAGCGTCGCATAATGCAATCCGACCGTTCGTGTGTCGAAACGGAGCCTGAGCAAGTGGCGGGAATTGTAAATGTGGGGATTTGATAATGATGACTAGTTGCCCCTTTAATGATAGCGCAGTGTGCTCCTTTAATAGGGAGTCGCCGCCGCAAAGTGCTCTGCACGGTCTAATCAACGGTGTCCGTGCGCCGTTGGAAAATAGACCCACACTTTACTTCAAATAACTACGAGATCTTTTGTATTAATTGATTTTGTAATGATTCTATTATGTGGGGTAGTTAAAGAAATCCCAATTTATCTAGTTTCAAGGGGATATATTTCATACTAGGCTCTCTTTCATTAAGCTATGTTTATGTAAACAAAGCGCAGTGATACATAAGTTTGCCATCGTTCGGTCTCTTTCAGCGTCGCTTTGACAAAAGTCAGAAGGACATTTCTGTTTAAGGGAAGCGAGGCGAGAGCCAGCCCTGGCCGGCTGTTTACATTGACAAGAACGAGTGTTGGGGGTAATAAATTAGACGCAAAATAAAACATCTGAACCACCGTCCTGGTCTGTGTGTGAGTGAAGTTTCCTTCTCTGCTCTCCCTTACCATCTCTGGGAACAACTTCCCCTCCCGTTGATCTTCATTGGTTGACAACCTATTTCCATGGCAACGTGGGATTACAACATAAATTTACAACACAGACAAGTTTTACAGAATTTCCTACATTATTACGCTTTTCAAGGAGAAAAAAAACATCTCTAAACTGGAATAAAAGAGTAATGAATCAGTCTTAACGGCCGTTTCAAACCTTGCAAACCTTGCAGAGTCATGACCGTGATGACGCGCAGGTCACTGGTCACGCAAAATCCAACCAATCAGAGCGTGAATTCATCAGAGTATCCCAGCGTCCTGTTTGCAGGTCGGAGGGTACGTGCCAGCATCCGGGGTGCGTTACGTGTCCGGATGGTCCGGGTACAGGCGCGTGGGACTTGACTAAAGGCTACCCGTGAACCAACACGCGCAAGTACTCCATTCGTTTGCATGCACTACACTTCCCGGTTCAAAATGACTTCACAATTCAGTACTCAATACCCATGGCGCGGTACTACATGGCCAAAGAAGGTCACAATAAAGAACTCTACAAGAAAACCAACGAGATCCCTTGGAGTAAAGCCATTACCAGAAGACGTCTTAGGTGGACAGGCCATTTCCTGACACTGCCCGAGGAAACACCTGCCTAGCAAGCGCTTCTAGAAGCGATCCGCAAGAACAATTAGCTGCCAAGAGGTGGATAACGAACCACGTGGTTGAATACAGTAAACACAGACCTGACAACCACGGGGGTCAACATCAAAGATCGACACACCTGGCACGTGGCATCCGACAGGGAGCAGTGGAGGACACTTACGGAGTGCGCAATGTCAGATCTACTTGACGCAAGCTTCTGGATGATGGCGCGGTATTATTTTTGTGTGCAAATGCTGTCGTGCGCGTTGAGCGCAGCGCATTATTGTTCCCAAAAGAGCGCACCACTGAGTTGGGTTCAAACATTTCATGAAGGGGGTGGTTTGGAAGAGAGAAATACATTTCCCACCAATTTTGTATTGAAATTGAAGTTTATTTTAACTGTGTTTAGATTTAAATAATTTAAAATATTAAAACCAAACAGAATCTGTGGGAGAAGTGTTTCAAACAAATATTGAATGCTTTATCTCGTGGTGAAGTAAAAGTAGTCCCCTCGGTGATCCATGGAGCATTCTATTTCATGGATCACCTTGGGAGGCTAGTTTTACTCATAGAGCTATATTCAGCGCTAACTCATGTACAAAGTGATCCCTGCTGGGCGCATCCATGTTTGTACACAAACCTATGGAGAACTCAAAATTTTGAACGTTTTTTTTGTAAGTCTATTTGCATATCTGCGTTTGTATTCCATACCGGTGGTTATCGAAGCCAATACGCCAAAAACCGAAACACACGATCAGCAAATGAGCGTGTCATTTTGCTCTACGCTTTCACCATGGTCTCCTATACACAGACTAGGGGGCACCCCGGGGGGCACGGACATCCGCTGCAACCCCCCCCCTCCCTCCCGTAGTTACGCTACTGCATTTTCTTAATAAAGTTCTTCGTGTAGCACTTTCAAAATCTAGGATATGAAAGCCCAATTAATAAGCTTTTTGTAGTACAAGAATCATTCGAATCACTCAGGCACTTTTCAAGTTACGGAATTTTAAACACAACCCCCGTTTTAAAGTTCTGACCACGGATCACCACAAAAAAGTGTGTGTTCTTTCAGCAAAACGAAAACAATTAAATGCACACACATCCCTATGCAAATTGTTTTCGTTTTGCTGAAAGAACACTTACTTTTTTGTACTTGAAAAGTACATATGATTTGAATGAATCTTCTACTAAAAGAAAGCTTATTAATTTGGCTTTTATATCCTACATTTTTGATATTGCTACATGCAGAACTTTATTGAAATAAATTGGTCGTGCCATTTGGGTTTTCTTATTTATCTTTTTACTCGCCCTGTATATATAGGGAAAAAATGAAATGAAAACGAAAGCAAATATATTTTCGAGGTGAAACTCGAAAATAACACGGGAAACATGTATTTAATCGCACTAAATCCAAAAAGCCTACCTTGAGTATAAAGCCTGGTCCTGGGTGGGGCATAAGTAGGGAGGTTTCTATAGAATGACGAAGCTGTGATGCTTTCATCCGGGATGCGACCATCTTCCATCCCAAGAGGTCCCTCCACAAAGCAAGGAGAGTCACCTGAGGAAAAGGTGCGATCGCTTTGAGAAGGTTTGTACAAAGTAACCATTAATATTTTTTTTAAAAGAACATACAGTGAAATCTCGACAAGTCACACTCCGATAACTCAAAACCGTCAATCCATTGCCTTCAGTTGTATAACAATGATATACAACCCTGCTCAACTCAAAACTCTGCTGAAGTCAAATTTTGAACCTGTTTCCTTGAGGTTTGGCTTATCAAGATTTCACTTTAGTATTGGTCTGTTTGCAAAGTGAAAGTTCAACGGGGAAGAAAGAATCGTTTTCTTCCGCTTAATGGCACGAGTAGATAGTTTCGGATGCATATGTGCCTCTTCCATCCTGCTCAACATTGAAAAACCAGAGCTTTGTAAATCCAAAGTGTGTGTCCTCTTCAGTAACAAGATGACCCAAATGAGTCGCCTATATATACTTATCACAAACATTTTTTTTTTATTGTTTTTTTCATTAATTTTTTTATCGAACTCTCGCGGTCAAAAGACCGAATTGCGGTTCAATGTACAAAGATTAAAAGTTATCACTTATATAAAAACTCCATTAAAACATTATTAATTAAAATTACACACACACAAATTTTGACCAAAAAGATGAACAATACATTTAAAAGCATACTTAACATTAAAATCACATTAACATTTTCAGATTGTGAAAACAAGAAAAAGAAAGAAAAAAAACAAACGGCACTATACAATAATAAAAAAAAACCCGGCAGTTGAAATTTAGGGGTGGTATATATGCTGGAGAGTTTTTTTTTTTTATATAATTTGTAAATTTTTGGGATTTTTTGTGTGTGTGTGTGTGTGTTTGTATAGGTAATGTGATTATTATAAAACTGTTGACAATCAAGTGCGCATACATGCGTTTAGTAGTTTTGTAAGGTACGGGACAGTACTTTTGGAGTACCTTTCCACCTTTATTTAAGGTTCAATGAACTGTCGTCTTTGTCTTAGTTCCATGACATGAACTCTACTGTTTAGGGGGAACCAACTCTTAAAACGATCAGAAGCAACACAAGATTTGGCAAATTGTAAACAAAGATCTTCCCTCCTGTTAGCCAAGGTTTTCATACTAAATCTAGACAATGCATGATCATAAGTGGAGTGATCCTGATCTAAGATTATCTTAAATGCCCGTTTTTGGATTGCTTCAATATATGATGTTTGATTTGATGTAAGACCAGAGTGCCACACAGGGGCAGCGTATTCTAAGACAGGACGAACATAAGTAGTAAATATTGTTACAAGATCGTTTCTGGGAACACCAAACCTTTTTAAACGACTAAGGATGTGGAGGCGTCTACTACTTTTAGAGATCATTTCTTGGACCTGGGTGCTCCATTTAAGGTCACTCTGAATCCAAACTCCTAACAACTTTGTTTGTGCTACAACATCAACTATGTTATCACCAATCTTTAAAGAAGGTGGGTCGGGGGGATTTTTCCCAAAGTGAAATTGCATAGTTTTACACTTAGATGGATTAAGCGTAAGTTTGTTAGCCTGAGACCAGTGAAACAAATCATCCATGTTATTTTGCATAAAAGAATGGCTATTGACTGATCTGATCTCACCTAAGCTGAGGTCATCGACATATTTCCATTTGTGACCAACGGAGTCAGCGCAGGCGTCGTCAATGGTGGCCAAAAAAATAATTGGACCAAGTTTTGTCCCTTGAGGAACTCCACATGTAAGGTGTTCCCAATCAGAAATGGCTGATTGATAACGAACCCTCTGACGCCTGCACGAAAGAAAGCTTATGATCCATGGAACAATTTCAGATCTAACTCCAAGGGAGATCAGTTTAGTCACAGCGATTGTATGATCAACACAGTCGAATGCTTTAGAAAAATCTGTTAACACTAGAGTGCCTGTTGTTTTGGGTTGATTACTACCTTTATAAAATACATTCAGCAGATCAACTAAACAATGTGTTGTGGATGACCCGCCAAGGCTACCATACTGATGTTGATCAAGATTTCCAGCAATATCATGGAGCAGCCATCTTGATATGAAAGTTTCAACAATTTTAGAAAATTGTGATGTAAGTGATATGGGTCTCAGCTTATCAATTGAAGCAGGGAGCTCTTTTGGGATTGGTGCAATAATAGCATCTTTCCAAACCTGTGGGACCACTCCTTCCTTAAGAGAGGAATTTAAAATATCTGTGATTGGGAAACTCAATTCACATGCAAATTCTTTAATGATCTTATTAGGAATATTGTCTGGTCCAGCTGATTTGGTGATGTTGATTTTCCGCAGTTCATGATACATTTCCCACTCATAGACATGAAGTGGTTGATTAGCTGGGAGAAATGTCGGCAAATCATACCTGTTTATAGAAGGCCTGCTTTGAGCTGTATTTGCAAAATTCAAGTTAATTCTTTCTGCAATAGCCATGTCATCATTAATTAATACACCTGGAACATTAAGTGTGAGTTGTGGTTTAAGGCGATTTCCCAAAAATCTTGGGAAACATAAAGATCACATGCTTAATATTAATATTATATTCGACGGCTTACCAGGATTTCAATTACAGTAAAAACAAAAATCCCTTCAAGTGCTGCTTGTTGCATTAGCTTTGAGCCTTTGAAATGAAACAGTAACACAATCTCACCATTTCTTTTGAAGTATTTCAACTTCTCTTCGTTGACTGACACGATCGAGTCATCGCTCAATTCACACCGTCTGGTATCTTTGGTATAACTGAAGTATTCGCAGTATTCTTCCTTGAGACAGGCCGCGGCACACCTTAAGTAGGAGGCTCGTTGGCTTGACCGAATCACTCGATATTTGTCGGTGCTGTTGAACTGTGAAGCAGCCGTGAAATCCGAAGATTTCACGGTAGGGAGATTAGAGCCAGCTCCGCTCTGAACCACGCAGACAACAAAAAGAACGAGGCACCAAACAAGACGACAATGTCTTGGGTGATAAATAGGAAAAATCATTTCGTTTAGGTTTGTTCAGCCATATAATACTACTTCGAAACTGTTTCAGATTGTGTTGCAAGCAACGAACGGCGAAAGATCGTATTCTGTGCTGACAATAATTAAAGGCACGAGTAGATGTATTGATCACCAAGTCACAATCGACAATAAACGGATGATTTAGGCCAGAAAATGGTCCATGGTAAATTAACGACAATAGCAAATGGACTTGTTGACAACGAATGGTGCATAATAACGCAACCTCGTCCCTAGTGCTTACTTTCTTTCCAACCTCGTTTCCAATAGTAAGCCCTGGATAGGAAACTTTCTTCCATATATCCTGATTCGATACCGCAATTTGCTAGTAATGGATTTATATCGCGTAGTTGGTGTTGTTATTTCCAACGTGCATTACGTGTTTTCACGTTAATGGTAATTTTAACGTCCATGCCTTCTCAAAAATACTCCTTTTTCCATTTTGCTCATATTAATATGAAATTTGATACTGCATATTGGCGGGAAAGATTGTTACATTTTAACTTTCAAACAAAATCGTGTTTTCATAACTCACGGCGCCACGAATTGATGCTGTTTTTACCCCAGACACCGCATACAAAAACAAACGCTTATGTAACGCGCAGGCAGGCACCAGATTATTCCTCATTGCACACGTGTTCAAATCTTGCACATACAAATGATCCAATACCAGGGTGAGAGTGCAGGTAGTGGTGGGCGCGTACTGCTCGACACCCTGGCGACGAGGTTGATAATAACGTGCTTGTATACAGGAATTGTCACTGCTTGAAAATATTAAGGTCTTCAAAATAATTTTTGAGACCTATTAATTTTATCTTGAAAACCTGCACACAAAAACTGAGAAAAGGTGCAAAATATTTAAAGCAAAACGAGAAAAATATTGAATAAGTCGACTTCAAGTTTGCATTGCCCGTGTTGTTCCTCTCGTTGACTCTGGTGGAGGTTGGATTCTAGCGAAATATATTAATGGCGCGTGTATTTGGCGCGTATACCAAGTCACCTATCTAACTTCGTTCGGTGCGTTGATATTTTCGAACTAATGGCCCGGTGTAATTGATTTTCCCAAAGCAATCCACTAAATGGGCCCTTATGCTCCATGTAATTAATTTTTGTATGGGCAGTTTCAAATGTTTTTCCGGAGCCCCTTTATGTTATTATGTAGTCTAGGAGCTAGACAGTGTTATGGTTTGAGGGTGCAGACCAGTAAATCGGTCCGAAATTGCCTACGCCGGCCAAATCACGATTTGCATGCCCTAAAAATCTTCAGTATTTGAGCATGCTGTGGGCCATGAACTTGAGGGTTTGTAAAAAATATGGGTGGAAGCTGTGCACAGGACTGGGAGCTTGCAGTTCTGTGTAATTTGGATGTAATTTGGACCCTAAAAGCGCTCGATTTTGCAATCGAGTATAGGCATCGTTTTTCAAAATGGCGATGGTCTTCAGGTCTATATTTAGGGGTGATCATCTTCAGAAGGAAATTTCTCCTAAAAGTCATCAGTTGACCCCCCAAAAATTGAAAAGAAAATGAAAGATGATGAAATAAGCTTTAATTTGATGTGTGTCTCGAACACCTTGGAGAGTTGTGAGTATTTTCCCCGAATTTTTGAAGTGGGAGCATTTACCATTGGGGTCTATGGAAGTTTATTTACTGGTCTGCTACCTTGATAACCTGCCGCAGCGATAACCCGCCGCCGCGAGAGGGCGCTATCACAACCAACCAATATCTCCCACGAATCCGTTAGAACAACGTCTAGGCCAACCTCGTCCCCAGGGTGTCGAGCAGTACGCGCCCACCACTACCTGCTCTCTCACCCTGGTATTGGATCATTTGCATGTGCAAGATTTTTGAACACGTATGCAAATGAGGAACAGTCTGGTGCCTGGATATGCGTTACACATTAGTGTTTGTTTTTGTATGCGGTGTCTGGGGTAAATACAGAGTCAATTCGTAGCAGCGCGAGCACGGCGTGAGTTACGAAAACACGATTTTTGAAATCAAACTGTTACGATCTTATCGAGACAACATGCAGTATCATATTTCATATATAGGCGTGGACGAATGATCGCGAAAACACATACTGCACGTTGTGAATAATAGCACCAAGTACACGATAAAAATCCATTACTAGCCAATTGCGGTATCCAATCAGGATACAGGAAGAAAGATTCCTATCCAGGGTTTACTATTGGAAACGCGGTTGGAAATAAAGTAAGCACTGGGGACGAGGTTGCGTCTAGGCCAACTCCTAAATCTCCCCCGAAAAATGGGGGAAACTAGTGCGCATGCGCGACTTCAGCAGGCGTAACTGTTCATTTTCAGTCCCACACATACTACTCACGACAAATGAGCTGACCAGTGAAGATGCACAAACGTCTTGCTGCATCTTCCACATTACTGGAAGAAATTTGAGCGTTTGCTTCGGAACTATATACTGTGATTTTTTTTTTTGAATGCGCGCTGCATATATTATATTAGGCCAAACAAGTGCGCGCGCATTACACAACCAGTACGAATTGGCATAGACGTTGTAAGTTCCGACGGGTTCGAGGGTGATTGGTTGGTCGTGATAGCGCCCTTATCGCTGGGCGGGGCAATTTTTTTTTCGCGTATCAGACCATAACAACGTCTAGCCCCTAGACTAGTTATTATATGCTAATAATGATTCCAGTACATGTATTCATGACCAAACACCGTGATGTCATTAGGCAGATGAAATCTTCAGTGTTACAGTTGTTTCAGCATTGAAAGCTAGCAGAATTTCAGGACGGTTGCCCATGCGTGGTCCACTTCGTGCTGTCTTTGGTGTTTCGTTGTTAACAGTAATTAAGTCACTGAGCAAACTCGAGGTCCCACTCTGGAAAACACCTTCCTGCCTGCCTACTATATACATTCCCTGCAAAATTAGTTGGGTTTTTTTCTTTCAATTTCGGATCCCCAGAAAAGATGGCTTAAACTCTTTACAGTGATATCTGTATGAACAATTAGTACTTAGGCTAAAATACAGACGACACGCTTCCAGGTTTAGTTTGGCGTATGTTGTGACTGTAAGATAAGCGCCCAGCCAGTGCGTTTACTCCCTTTGTTCATAGGCGTAGCCAGGGGGGGGGGGGGGGGGGTACCCCCATCTTTTGTAAAGACTGCCCTATTCCCACTCAAATGCCCTTTTTTAGACCCCCCCCCAAATATTGGTAAGGAGTGCCCTTCTTTTTTCTGAACAAGTGCCCTTTAGACCAAAAAAAAATAAGTCTCCGGTTTCTGGTATGGAGCTTGTCCAAAAAGTGGTGCGGCGACGCGGCTTTTTTTTTTTTTACCTGACTTTTTTGCTTCAAATGTCGGCTGATGACTGCAAATGGTGCCCGACTAAACTTAGTGCAAATATATGGGAGTCCAGAGAGGCCACATAAAGCTTATTCTCGATCATAACCCCATCTAAAAACACGTTAAAATTGTGCAGTAGCAGGATTCCAGTCAAACCAGTGAGTTTGGCGGTTTTGAGACATCATCTTTCATTGAAAAAAAACCTTTTTCATTTTGCCGACGCGCATGGCTACGGCGACGCGCGCGCATACCAGAAACCGGGACTTTTTTTTTTGGCCTTAACAACCATTTTTTTTTTGAACTTCGCGCATGTATGGCCTTGAAAAGCACCATATATTGTCCATTACGTTGTGGACAATCGTCGTTTTGAACAGCACCCCCATCGACAAATGGTACGCCCCCACTATTTGATTTGATTTTACGGAGGCCAAGTGTCCGGAGGATCGGGTCCAACTGATTTGCATAAAATAGTGGCCGCATGAGGTCGCTGTTCGCGCTGTATTTTTACATGCACTGTAAAGCGCGCGAGGATATGCCGCCGATTGATTACCGCGAATGCCGCGTACGGGAGAAATAACGACGAGAGCCTTGACCAAGGCTACTACAGCTAGGATTTTTTTTTCAGTAGGGGGCCAGGGGGCCAGGGGGCCATTGGCATCGGCATTTCCCCCCCCCCCAATCCCTATATTTTCCAGCATTTTCCCGATGGGCAGGGACATTGCCCCCCCCCCCCCCACCCAACCCATTAAATTAACAACAACAATATGATTTCGCGCCTTTTTTTCTTCCATTCCACAACTTCCCCCCCCCCCCTTTTTTTTGGCTTGTCCGGGGGGGGGGAAGCTCCCCCCCCCCCGCGACGCCCATGACCAGTTCTGTAGTCTGGTGGCCTTTTGTGCCGTAGCAGCGGTTTTTGGCTTCGTCTATATTATACGTATTTCAAGCGTCAACTTTTAAAGCCAGACTGTCAAAAAAGACTGGGCCACATAAAAACCAATGTATTCAATTCACTGTGATATTCACCGTGACATTATCAGGTTCCACACTAGGTTCAGAATTATACACAAAGAAAACGCCTTTAATGTACAGAACGTTTTGAAAGCTTCACTGCACTTCAGTGAGGCCTACGCTGCCACCCTAAAATATGTCCTCACGCACGTCCTCACGCCCTAACTTAAGCTGAAGATTTTAAGTACATTGTAGTAAACATATATATGTAGGCCATATCGCTCTAATAGCTCATTCGATTAAACAAAGGAAGCCTAGCTTTAGGTTGGCATTCGCTTTACTAAACATGGTAGAACCGTATTTATTGAGAATTGGGCAGAGGACGAAATCAGGTTTTGAGGTAATACTATTAGGAAAGAGATTAAAAATTCTCTTTACAATACTGTTTGTTGCACTTCATTCAATCGGACATTACGTTGATAAGTTATGGCGGTTTAAAGTTTGCATTTATCGACATGTCAAAAAGGTAAAATACTAAGAAAAGGGCCTTTTCGACTGTATCGACTTTTTGAAGTTTCGAATGTATTGTAGTCGTGATAATGAAAGATGCCAATTTTTTTTCTTTAAAATGAAACACTTTTATTCCACAATTTGTATACACTTTTATTCCACAATTTCCTTAAATATGTGTAGTAGACATATCAAAGATTACAAATATCAATAAATCTGATAATGGAAAAAACAAATCACCCCAAATTGTTTTTTTGTGGCATTTTTCTCCACTACGGCTTGTGCCCAGTTCCGTCTCATAGCAGGGGAAGGCACACACTTTCAACCTTCCCCAGTTATTGACAACACGAACAAAAACAATTCCCATACGTATTTGAAGGCCTCGGCTTTAATTTATTTCTCAAAATAAATTTCGGTTAAAACACAAGGCATTATAAGAATACTATTATAATAGTGACTCTTCATAAATTCGACATTATACTTTCCACTGCAATTTGGTAGTGAGTTCTATTATTGTGGTGCTCAGAAAGCGAGGTCGTGCAAACAATTAAAGTCCAACAAACACGATGCAATCCACTAAATAGTAATTATTTCGCTAGTCAAGGCAAACGTAAAATTGAAGGCATTAGGTAATTTAAGATATCTTTAATTATTTCAAGATATCGCAAAACATTTCGAAGATTTAAAAGCCTCGTAGTGATTATTTTGGGCTCTTAAGGCTACCAGTCCCTTAAGCACCGGCGTAACTACGGTAAAACTTCAGGGGGCACCAAGGGTGCATACATTTTCCAAGGGACACGGTTCAGAACCGTGTCACTTCAACAGTGCAGTATACAATGCTTCTGAAGGCCAGTTTAAACACTTTTCTCCGGTGTTTAAACGATGGTTTAAAGCCAGCCATGGCGATGCTCTTGACCAATAAAAAGGGGTAAACTGTCATAGCTGTAATTGAATGCTAATTGAAAAGTTAGAAAATGCCAAGGGCGGATCCAGAAGACAATTTTTGTTGGGGGGGGGTGTTTAAAAACAATTACGGCGTGTTTTTTTTTTGGATTCTAGATACTCTGTGGTGCGATCTGAGGCAATTTCTGACCACTTTAACCAATGTTTTTTGAGGAAAAGATGGTGGTGTACTCATTGCCTGCCTTTATTGCGAAGTCACTAAAAAAAAAAAAAAAATTGGATTCGTTTTTTTTTGGGGGGGGGGGGTGGTGGGGCATTGCCCCCTTCCCCCCCCCCCCCTGGATCCGCCCTTGGAAACTGCGTGACTTCATTTGACAATTTCAAGCTCTGAAAGGAGCTTCCACATGTCAAAAAATTGACAAAAATAAGGCCCCGAAAAATTGACAAAAATAAGTCCCCATAAGTTTCTTACAAAACACAACTACCTAATTTTTATTTTTCAAAAAAAAAGGCAAACAAAATACATCAAGTACTTAACAAAAACTGTTTGTAACAGTTGGAAAAGATGTTAATCAAAAGTTTGTAAATGGAGGCAAAATATGTGCAGTAATGTTATAGTCATGTGGTATTTATCACAAATCGCTAGAATTCTAGGAATACATCTTAAGTATGGTGTTCCATATGTGCCATTGGCGTCGCATTCGTGGGCGTCGCATTTTTCAGCTCTGTGGCAGGGATCATTTTGATAGATTTCATGCAAGACTTTCATGCAAGGCGGCCACAGCTTATTGTGCACTCGCACTTGTTTTGTTACGTAATGAAATTTTAAATCAAACTATGTGTAGAGCTCTGAGTAGGCCTATATAATAAAGGCCTACTGTGTTTTTGAAACACCAATCTCATCAGGCGTATTATAACTACAAAATTAATGTAAAGATGGGTTTCAATTATCGATTCCTTTCGATATCGATTTCCAGTCCCGCTAGTTGTTGACTGATTAAATGTGATTAATAGCAGCCAATCACTTCAAACCTCATGCAGCACCAAAAGTTCCATACAGTGGGGTGAATGCGCAGGATTCTGGTGCGCAATGCCAACGGGAACCGAGCGGTTACCAACGTGTTCCTGTCCGAGTTACCAGCAAACTGCAACAACAAAATCAAAATAGTCGACTTGTTTTAATACCGCATCCTGTCGTGCCATATTATTATAGGTTTTCCCGGTTATTTTAATACTTGTATTACACGAATTCCCTGCATCGATGCTTTAACTTTGTCCCCGAATATCGCCAAGCTCAATTCTCAATCTGAATTTCAAAAAACCACTACTAGATTTCATGTAAGGTTCAGTGTAATTCAAATTTTTAGCATACCGATTCGTCCTATATTTGTGAAATTCGTCTAGTGTTGCAATCGGCGTTGAATTGAAAAAGCAAATTCGTTTTTTGTCATTCGTTTTAATGTTGTTGTCATTACATTTCGTTTCTGGTGACTTAAAACATAACGATTAGAAAGTGTGCCCAATCTGTGGACTTATTTAAATATATAACAGTGCGCATTAATAAAAAGTATACTTTCAACATATAATTATTTCCTTTATACGTATAAATAAAAGTAGTTAGCTGTAGGTTTTTAATCTTCTTTTCTTAATTAACATTATAATCAGGAATTGACATTTTACAATTGTACTCTTGACTTATGACATGGAACTTAAGGATTAACACATTCGTAATACCGTTTGCTCTTTGATTTGCAGACCTAACTTATGTGGCTTTATTCATATATACATGTATATCAAATGGCAACATTACGAAGGTGTTTGATCTTACATGTAATGCTTAATTTCCATGTCATAAGTAAAGAGCATAATGTGAAAGGTATATTCCTGATTCTTATGTTACACACGCAAAAGAATATTCGGAACTTACAGCTAACTACTTCTATTGATAGGAAATATATGTTGAAATTAGAATTATATTAATGCTCATAATTCTTCAATTAGTCTAAAGATTGGGCACATTTTCTAATCGTAGCGTTTTAAGTCACCAGAAAGGAAATGCAATGACATCAACATTAAAGCGAATGACAAAAAACGAATCTGCTTTTTCAATTCAACGCCGATTGCTACACGAGACGAATTTCACAAATTTAAGACGAATCGGTATGCTAAAAATTCGAATTATACTGAACCTTACATGGCATCTAGTGGTGGCTTTCTGAAATTCAAATTGAGAATTGAGCTTGGGGATGTTCGGGGACGAAATTAAAGTATCGATATAGGGAATTCGTGTGATATAAGTGTTAAAATAACCGGGGAAACCTATATTAGTATTAGTATTTGAGGACTATGTATATTTCCGAACTGCGAAAAAATGGGATTTTTCATCAATATAACTTTTTAATTAAACGATGTTCCTCGGTTTTACTCAGATTTATCAAGGACACAATTAAGCTTCACCTCCTAAATTTCGATTGGTCTGAGAGATTTTAACCGGGATAGCCTAAGCCGGGTTTTCCAAACATCGGCTTTCTCCCCGGCTTCGGTTCCATCTCTTGCTCCTGAATCAGTTTGAAACATGACATTAAATTGTCGAAATCCAAAGTGTATATTTCGCGTCATATTATGGGACTTAATATACCTGAAGTATAGGCTATGTTGAGCCGACGTCGTTCAAAGGGCCCAAATCTTTTGAAACTAAAACCTGAAACTAATCATTTGAAATCCTCAAAACCATTGAACAATTGAACTTATTCTCTTTGGCACGCACATAAAAAGAGAATTACTATGTCATTGCAAGTGTGAGCTTTACAGGTGCATTTGGTATGCAAAGTAGTGTTCACGGCGTTAGAATGCTGGTTGGTGCAATTCGCATGTCACCACGGCACACACCTTGGATTTCTTTCATAACATGTAATGTTTGACCTTTTGTTTTTATTATATTTACAAGAAATATCCAAGAATAAAATATCCTGAAGCTCTTTATATCGATTGAGGTAGTGCTCGATCGCCTTCGGTGTCAGATAGGAATTTCCCAGAGTTTTGTCTCAAGGCGAATTTACATACATGTATAGGTTCTCCCAGCCATTTTAAAACGTTAATCATTCGAATTCACAGTTTCTAATATTCAAATTCGGTCATCAACATCGATTTAGTGCACTTCCAATATGTAATGTCGTCTTTGGTCAGACAATTTCAAATTTAGTTCAAGCCAATTCAAACAATGAACACACGTGTTCGTTCGGGAATATTCGATTTCGTCTCGTCTACGCTAAACCTTGTTATTCAGAAATCAAATTCGTCTAATTGATTTATATAAGACGAATTCGTTTTCTGAATGCTGCCATTCGGCAAAAACGTAGATGAATTTGATCTGCAATGACGAATATTATCGACCCGGTGACTAAAGAGGGTGACCAAACTTTAAAATTGAATGGTAAATGTCTAAATTGATTTTGTTAAAAGCGTGTGAAATTTAAATCGAATTGAATGTGAGGGTTGGTGAATTTGAATGAACAATCTTTTAAAATAGCCGGGAAAGCTATATTAATTTTAAGCCAGGATGGCCAAGAGGTACTTATATGACCAATACAACCATAATATTTGGAAATTGTCCTTGTATACTTTTTGTTTTCAAATGTTATAATTGTACATGTATTTACCAAATCTGGAGAACTGTTGTAACGAGACGTTTACAAAAGAGTGCGGGTAACTGTAACACTTTCAAGATTAATACGGTTGAGTTAATATAAATATTATGATTATAATTGTTTATTTGTGTATGATTAAGCTGGTTTGTCGTGGTTGAGATGAGATCCTACCTTTACTGGTGTGCCAAACGCATCAGTCACTTGATCCCAGGACTGAGCGTCATCGCTGTACGACACTTGGTGCTCTGTCACCCATGTGTTGTAATCTCCGCGCCCCTGGGTGATCAAACCAGTGATGGTGACTGTACCATTGAAGTCAACCTGAATCGATGGACTGGCTTCAGATCTATCATAACACCAGGCTGCAGCTAATCCTGTTCAACAACAAAACGTGTTTTTTTTTTTTAAAGGGCAGTAAGTCTGGCTCCAATCTGAAGTTGTTTAACCACACCTTCGAACCATAGTTATTTAGACCAGTGTCACGGTTGCTTTAAAACTTAAACGCTATTTTTGCCAACACCCCCCCCCCCCTGCCCCTTGATTTTGGGTTATACCATGTTAACACAATCATTTATTTCATTTAGGTAGATCATTCAAATATCTCTACTTCTTTTGTTATTTTAATTTGACAAAGCGCCCTCTAGGTTTTTATTTTGAATTTCGCGCGCTTCGATCGAGCGTCATTCTGTTCTTGGATGAAGATCATCACTATATGTACTTATTTTTCGTCTCTTCTCCAATTCACAGGTATGACAAATTTATTTAGTTTTCTCCTTTAAAAGTTTACTTGTAATCGTATTTGATAATAACAAGTTTAGCTATAATTTCCTTTCATATATTATTCTGTGTTTTGGTTTTTTGGTTTTTGTAAAATTTATTTCGAAACTGATAATGTTATAAAATTAACTTCAATCGGACTCCCGTACTTTGCGATGAAAGTCACATTTTGATACAATTATCAGATCGAGCAACATTTATAAACACCCTTTACGATCTCTATTTCCAGTTTCCACATTCAATTCCATTTGCATTTTAATTAAATCCAATCGACATTATTTCGTTTCAAAGATGGTGGACGCCATCAAGGATTTAGCGAGAACCACTGAGATAATTTGGACTTTAACCACATGTGTTTTAATTACTTGCTACTTTTTTCTTTATTTAATTATATTGTTTAAGTATAGAATTTGTATTTAACTTAGTCATTCTGTTCTTGGATGAAGATCACTTTATACTTATTTTCCCTCTCTTTTCCAAGTCACGGATTCCGCAATAAAACAGCAAAACCTAAGAAGTAGTCTCCCCGTCCCATTTTTCGTGGCCTAAATTCTAACAGGGTCACACTAGTGTTAATCGAAGTCGACTATTCGGGATAATACAACGCCTGAAAAAAAATCCCCGTCATCTGAATGGTTGGTCGTTGATAACATGTCATTGAATTATTCGTCCCAACTCATGGCCCGTCCCAACGCATGGCCCAACCTGCGTTCCACTTTATGGAATTATACCTGCGTTCCACTTCATGGAATTATATACCTGCGTTCCACTTCAGTGGGCACGCCAAGCTTGCTCTGGGATCCTAGCTACTTGGCATCCACACAGGATGCAACTTCACACTTCACCGATTTTGCTTTTGCTACTTCGGTAAGTGTTTACTTTCTTAGAGTTTAGGCACTCTCCTGAAGACGGTCAGAGCATACTGACCCGAACGTCGAGTTATACCTCTGGTTCTTTTCAGAACCATTCTCTTAATTGAGAAATTATTCATCCATACGATGTTGTTTGGGAAAAAGTAATTCGCGGCCCGGCCGTACCACAACTAGTATATGTAATAAATAGAGCCATGGTCTATAATTTTTGAGCAGATTCGCTGATTAATTATGCAAGACAACCGCATCTTGACCTCTAGATTTTGACCAATCAGCAGGCGCTTTCTATATCGTGTCTTCGGTCATTCACCCGTTGTCGCGTCATAAAAAACCTGAACACAGCAACAAAGGCTGTGGTCACGTGCTCTGTATTACGCGATACGCGCCCGGCTGTTGTTGTATTACAAAACACTGCATTGGGATTTACCAATCACACATTTAGTCCTGATTTGAGAATGAAATGACGTCACCTTGCAAAATCGAGGGCCGATAGTTTTTAGGTCTTATAAAAGGCCGACAGAAACGGCAATGCTCAGTAGATAGAGGAAAGTATACGCTTCATTTTCATGTGAAACACGTGCAGGAGACTTCTAATGTTTGGTCCAAATCGCCGGTTGAAAAATAAAGACTTTTGCGAGATTTCATGATTTGCAATCACATGTGCGCGTGTAAACGAACGTTAGTTCGCCGACTTACGTTGGCCTGAAAACATTGTGAATAGCACCTGCTAACGTGCAATGAATGACATGAATATTAAGCAGGCCATACTCGAGCTCGACCAATCAGTGGGCATATGGGTCACAAGGTCACACCGTGTGTGGGTTCCTCGCTCTATGCTTTACAATGGCGACGATCTCTTCGCGTTGTGAAAAATGGAAGTTACTGGAAACATTAGGTGTACATCGAATTCTTGAAATATTAACGACATCACGTTCACGAGAATTTTTTTGTAGATGAAGGTTCACTCTTTCCTTTGATTACCTCAACATTTGGGAGACTTTCGTCGTTCTCGAACCAAATCCGGAAATTTCATGACCTAATTTTTAGTCGATTTGTCCGTGAAATAAAATCGTCAAAATGCATCGAAATCCATTTTTTTTTTGAGAAAAAAATACCTTGATGGATGTATGAAGTAGGTCTTTAACTACCTAAAACAACTGTGTTTGTTTGGATCGGTTGTGGTTTGCCATGAAAATTGCGAATATTCTAAAGCCCTTTTTACGGCCATCGTTCGCTGGCCTCGCGTTGCTGTCAGTTGTGTGGACGAGAAAATAGAGCAGCTACGCGTGACACGGCAACTGACTGAGATTTCCCCTGACCACACTTCCACTCGGCTTCGCCTCGTGGAATGGAACATTCCATCTGTCACCTCATGACATACATTTTTTCGAGGTGAAACTCGAAAATAACACGGGAAACATATCTGTAATCTCACTATATCCAAAAAGCCTATGCCTTCAGTATAGAGTAAATGGTACAATTGAAACACAAACCCCGTGGCCTACAAATGAAACGGCTGTACACAATTTAACCTGATTAAAGTTCATATGCCGTGCTCTTCAAAAAATGCTATATTTTTCTCCTGACGAATTTTCAATGATTTGTTTTTAACGGAAGAAACACCTTTTTTTCGATTTTGAGCGTCTGCAACCCTCTGAAAAATGCTTTTCATTTTGTGCAAAAAATAATAGACCCACCCTGTAAGAGCCGAATGTACGGTCTGGAAGCTAGTCATTCGAATGTTGTGAAGAAATAATTTAATAATCAAACGTCAGTGGCTTTTTGTGTTCAATGTCTCATTCAAAAGTGAATAACTTTGATACTGCTATAGGAAAAAAATGAAACGAAGAAAAAAACAAATAATTTTTCTAGGTGAAACTCGAAAATAACACGGGAAACATATCTTTAATCTCACTAGATCCAAAAAGGCTAAAGCCTACCTTGAGTATAAAGCCTGGCCCTGGGTGGGGCGTGAGTAGGGCGGTTTTCATAGAATGACGAAGCTGTGATGCTTTCATCCGAGATGCGACCATCTTCCATCCCAAGGGGTCCCTCCACGGAGCAAGGAGAGTCACCTGAGGAAAAGGTGCGATCGTTTTGAGAAGTTTCATATATTAAAATCCACTTAAAGCCAGAGTAAATCATTTGTCATTTGTGCATTTTTTTCGTTTGAAGCAACAAAAGTGCTCAAAATCGAAAGAAGTTTGCTTGACAACTAACCTGATGAAGTTTTAGCTCAGTGAATGCTGTATATTCCGAGAAAACAATATTCTAGGATCGCGATTTCAATTGCAATTAGTTGCCGAGTCATGATTTGAATTGCGCCCGAAATCAGCGTCGGGACACGTTCTCATTCAGTCAATAACCCTCTGTACTAATAATTATATCGATCGCTATAGAAAACATGTAGTGTTGTGTATTTTGGGTCTGATTTATTTTAATTTGCGCCACTAAAGCTATCGAAAGTGACCCTCAAATGTGATAAAACCTCGTTTTAATTAATCTCAACTATATTTCAGGTCGATGATTCTTAAACATAACGGAGATTTTAGGTATGCACAACGCTAGTCACGATGGCCATATATCACACGGTACTACGCGTATACGGCGCGCGTGACTGTGTATGTGGCGCTAGTACTGCGGGCAACGAGCGACTTGCTGCGGCAGCCGCTGGCGGGGAAACACGCTGCTTCAAGTAAGAGCGGTACAATCGGTACAACCTCGAAATCAATGATTAAACCAAATAAGTACATCAAAAAAGGTTTTTAAATCCAACGTGTATTTCCTTTTCAATAAAAAGAGGACCCAAATGAGTTGCTTGTAAATTACACTCTGTACTTGTCACAAGCATCTTGGGAAACAAAGATACACATGCTTATTAACTACAGCATATGCTTCAACAGCTTACAAGGATTTCAATAATTATTGTAGAAACAAAAATCCCCTAAAGTTTTGCTTTTTGTATTAGCTTTGAAATGAAACAACAACACAATCTCACCATTTCTTTTGAAGTATTTCAACTTCTCTTCGTTGACTGACACGATCGAGTCATCGCTCAATTCACACCGTCTGGTATCTTTGGTATAACCGAAGTATTTGCAGTCTTCTTCCTTGAGGCAGGCCGCGGCACACCTTAGGTAGGAGGCTCGTTGGCTTGACCGAATCACTCGATATTTGACGGGGCTGTTGAACTGTGAAGCCGTGAAATCCGAAGATTTCACGGTAGGGAGATCAGAGCCAGCTCCGCTCTGAACCATGTAGACAACAAAAAGAGCGAGGCACCAAACAAGACGACAATGTCTTGGGTGATAAATAGGAAAACTCATTTCGTTTCGTTTAGGTTTGTTCAGCCATATAATTCTCACATGTCGCCTACTTCGAAACTGCTTTAGATTGTGTTTTAAAGCTACAGTCCATCATTTGTAATTTGTGCATTTTGTTCGTTTGAAGCAACAAAAGATTTCAAAATCTAATGAAGGATACTGAGCAACTAACCTGATGAAGTTTCAGCTAAGCTTCAGCTGTACATTCCGAGAAAAACAGCATTCTAAGATCTCAATTTCAAATCCAAAGTTACTGAATCATGTTTTGAATTGTTTTGAATTGCAGCTATACGCGACGTCGCGCACTGATCCGACGAATTATAACAACCGTGCGCGCGTGTGCGTCGTTCCAATACTTGTGCACGCTGCGCTGAATAACAAAACGAACTACTTATTTAAATTTTCCTACGGTGCTTCTTAAGAATCACCGTTGGAAATGCCTTCTTTCGTTGATTACTTCAAAATGACAGCTTCCCAGAAAGAATAATTTCACAGGGAGTTTAGTCCCCTTACTATCTTTCAACCAAGTTTGTTTTTCAACAATAATTTCGCCAGTTACTTTTCGGATGGCTGCAAATGATGGACTATACCTTTAAACAGCGAACGGCGGAAGGCCGTATACTATACGCTGTTAATAATTAAACGCACGACTAGATTATTGATGTGACTAAGTCACAATCGACAATAAACTGACGATTTAAGCCAGAAAATGGCTCATGGTCACGGCAGATTAACGCAGTGGCAATAGCTGCGCTGCTGATAGCTTTCTCGCATACGTATTTGGCAAATGTATATTTTGTAATCTTAATAAGGTAATTGTGAATTTATGGAACGTCAATTTGGTCTAAAACTTGCCTCGATGGTTCAGGCTGGTGCCACAGGTATTTAAAATACCAGATTTGTAAAATCATATTTTTTACCACAAATGTTACCTTTAGACCAAAATGAGCCAAACAAAATCAGATTTTTTCAATTTTACAGCTCCACATCATGCCTAATCTGCAAGTAGACATGCTAGGCTTTCAAATGATGTAGGATGTAGGTGTATGGGGTGTTGGGCAATTGACAAATAACAAACATTTTACATTAGTGCTGCTCTTAGAAACACGATTTTGAGAAATATGCACATTTTCACTCAATATTGCCTATAGTTACTGTACATTTTATAATCTTAAGAATATACAACATTTGCAAACATCGACAAAACAAAATACCATTTTTTTACGAAATATCTTACTAGGATGTTGGTAAATGACGGTCTAAAGCATCTCGTAAAATTATGGCACCTGGTGTGGAGTCATTTTCAAGAAAAGTGGTATTTTATTGTAAATTTCCAACGGTGGTCGGCCGACCACCGTTGGAATTACCTAACTATTTTTTAACTACTGCTCCAAATTTACCATTTTTTCAGTCCAAATTTGGTTTGCTATTGGTTACATGTTCATGAACGGGTGCAGGCCAGCTAGACTGGTTCCCTCACCTTACAGTTTTCCGGCATCTATAAATTGATCCATATCATCTTTAGTGGAGTCAAGGAACCAGACTTCTTGAACATTTTAGTTTTTCTTTGTTTTTCCAGCATTTTTTAACACAAAACTTCAAACATGTCAGTGTAACAATATTTGATCTATTATACTTACCCCTCAATAAGTTCATTACTGAAAATTACAGCAAAAGCCAATGATGTACATTCCCTTTAATATGGTAATGGTGAATTTACGGAACGTCAATTTGGTCTAAAACTTGCCTCGATGGTTCAGACGGGTCCCATAGGTATATAAAATACCAAATTTTGTAAAATCATATTTTTGACCAAAAATGTGTCTTTTAGACCAAAACGAGCCAAAAAACACATTTCTTCCAATTTTACAGCTCCACATCATGCCTAATCTGAAAGAAGACATGTTAGGCTTTCTAATGAGGTATGATGTAGGTGCGTGTGGTGTTGGGCAATAGACAAATAACCAAAACTGGTCTTCGTTTTGCTCGTAGAAAAACGATTCTGAGAAAAATGCACATTTTCACTCAATATTGCCTATAGTAACTGCACATTTTGTAACCTTAAGATGGTTATAATGAATTGATGGAACGTCAATTTGGTCTCAAACCTGCCTTGATAGTTGAGGCTGGTTCAACAGATATCGAAAATACCAAATTTTTAAAATCATATTTTTGACCAAACATGTGGCTTTTAGACCCAAAATGAGCCCAAAAACACATTTCTCCCAATTTCCAAGCTCCACATCATGCCTAATCTGAAAGTACACATATTAAGCTTACTATTGATGTATGATGTAGGTGTGTGGGGTGGGGCTTTAGGTCGACCCAAATTTGGATTCTGCCGCTCGCCTAATGGACTTGTTTACAACGTGCTCGCAAGGTGCATAGACGTGGTCGCATATAAGTATCCTAGCTTACTGCTTGAAAATATGGTCCTCAAATAATTATTGATATCTGTTTGTTTTGAAAACGTGCCCCCCACAAAAAAACAGAGAAATGGTGCAAAATCTTTAAAGCATAATGGAAATGAAATGTTGAATAAGTGGAATACAAGTTTGCATTGCTCGTGTTGTTCCTCGTTGGTGCATGTAGTTTCAAATTAATGTCTGTTCGCGCTTTATTTAAATGGCCCATGTAAGGCGAAGTAAAAAAAAAAAGTTTCTCGTCCGGGGTTTTTGAAAAAAGGGAGGAAGCGGGGCCTTTTATTTTTTATTGTTTATTTTTTTCAAGATGGCCGCCATTTAAAAATTTCCTGCAACCGTTGGTTGTGTCAACTGTTCAAAGAGACTTTTAAAATGAAAGACAAGTTGGACAAGAGAACTGAGCATATTTACAGTGTCGGAAAAAATTCGGTACTGGGCCACAACTTTTTTTCGATTAATTTTCAAGCGCCAAAAGTTGTATCCTTTGACTTACTTCATCAAGATTCGAACCTCGGACTTTTACTTGAAACACGAGACTCTTAACCGCTAGGCCGCGCACGATCGCTGTTGCAATAATCAATCTTTGGACGTATTTGAAGTAGCAATTGAAATAAACTAAATATTCATGAGAAATAAATATTCATAATGACGTATTGCACTATCATTGGCCGGCTCATGCGACGTCATGGTTGTCGATGTCATGCGTCATGCGTACCGCTGTCTGTCAGCCACACTTCAATCAGTTTTGACCGGCTGCTTCAACTATAGTTCCGCACGACGTGTGCATCCAAAATGGGCTCTTAAAACACATTTTGCCTAATTTTTTTTCGCATTAACACAGCTTCCTGGATTCCTCTTGGGTGAAATCACAAGGTGAGGTGAAAATTGATGTGTTTAGCGGCAGGTAAAGTCGTGGCCCAGTATGGAATTTTTCCCACAGTGTCATTTAAAGTTGTATTGGTATTGGTATTTATTTTACGATGAATTTGTGGACTTTTTCGGTGTTTTTTTACTACATTTTTCAAAAATAAAAAATATTAAAAAAATCCAGGCGGCCTCCAAAAAGGAAGCGGGCGGGGACGAGAAACTTGGTTTTTTTTTTACTTCGCCTAACTGACTTTTCTTTCAATGCAATCCCTCAAATGCAGCCTTGTGCATCCATTATGTTCACACTGCCAAGGTGACAGTGTTTTTCCTGTTACAATGTTTTTCCTGGGCCTTAATTGTCGTGCATAAGTTATGAGCAAAACCGTGATGCCATTAGGCAGACGGAGTCTTCAGTGTCACAGCTGTTTCAGCATTGAAAGCTACCGGAATTTCAGGACGATTGCCGTGTTCTTGCTGTCTTTGATGTCTCGTTGTTAAGTACATAACAGTGAGTCACTCGAGCAAACTTAATGCACTAAGTAATGTTGGCAATGACAGCCGGAGCCCCATTAGGGGATACTAATTAATAATGTCACTAATAGACTGTAAAGTGCACCTACAGAAGTGAGAAGTGAGTTCACGGCAAAACGCCCTCAATTGTCAGGAAAAGAAAGTAACATTTTCAATGCCCCCAAAAAGTGCATTTTACCAAATTAAAGCCAAGAGGGGCAGCTCTTTATTTTCATATGCAGGTCACAGATGATGGATATCTCAACCTTATTATGTAAATTGCTGATATTGCAGCTATCCTGCCAGTTATTTTCTAAGATACCTCTAAACACTGTGAAAATTTAAAAGCCTCGGAGTGATTATTTTCGGGCTACTACCAGCAGCGAGTAACGTTGGCCTGATTTTGTTTTGCATGTTTTTTTTTGCACTCGATCGGTCCCAGTCTGGAAAACAAGAGCCTGCTTCCTACATTCCCTGCAAAACGTGTTGTTTATTTTCGAATTCGAATCCCCAGAAAAGTGGTTTAAACTATTTACAGTGATGTATTAACAGTACTTTGATCAAAATTCAATGGTACGTTTCGAGGTTTTAATTGGCAATGTGACAACGAGATAGCACCCAAGTCAGTACGTTCACTCCGTTTGTTCGATTGATAATAAGGCATTTCATTCTAGCTGCGCGCCTTCAACACTGAAGCAATTCACACAATCTTGTCAAAGAGGAACGACAACTATCTATGGGAACGACCGTGACTTATCAGATCCTGAAATCATCCATCGAAGAAAAGCACGCCCTCTATCGCTAGATAATACTTTGACGGGAACGTATAAGAAGTGCACACAGGAGTGCGCTAATTGGAGTAGTTAAACTCTTTCGTATTTACCCACATTAACCCTCTGAAAAAAAAACCGCCCGCATATTGTGTCGATGTCCGCCATAAAATAATCAAAAATGCTGATGGATTTTGAAAAGGCTGATGGATAGGCAAACCACAAACATTATTGCTACAACATGAGAAATATCACAATGGGCACAATGCATGCATCCTGATGACATACTGCAGATTTCTCTCCAAAAGGCCCAACTATACTTCACTAACTTCGTCTTGTTTTCGTGGCCTCAACTTGTACCCATCCCATAATGCAATAGATCGCCTGAAGTGTTTGAGAACAACTTAAGATCCTGTCGATCAGGCTTAATGTGAAGAGTTTAGGGCGGGGAAGCACAGAGAGGGTTGGGTCACGGATCCTACACACAAGGATTAACGGCTATGCATGATAACGGCCCGTACTGGTGGCAAATACCATGAATACTTGTCAACAAGAGAAAACCTCTGCGCTGCGCGCGGCGGCTTTCAGATTTGCAGGCTCTGCGTCCGATTTGCGGGTGTCGAAGTCTGTCAAGCCAGCTAATTATATTTTTGAATATTCATGAGTCTACTTTTTGATTGAATTCTGATAAGTAATAATTACATCACCATGTTAACGCCGAGCACAGTATCTTTAGCTTCAAAATGAACTATGAAATGTCGCATTTGTTTTATCGGTTCGGGACCACATCTCTCTCACACTTTTTAATGAAAGCCGAATTAACAACGAAATTTGGGTAAACGGTGTTCTCCTCGAAATTAGACGTTTATTTCCCGGGTAAATACTTCATCTATGACGACAATAACTGCACAGTACCATCTGTTATATCCTGAAGTACATAATTTTTTTTAAACAACTTTGGAACTTACATAACGAGTAGTTTTGCTCACAGTTTTATAAGTTTTACAAAATTAAGTCCCCTTTCCCTTACATTTATTTACAGGCAAACTACAGGCGTACTTTTAACAACAAACAGGGAGAAAAGAACAGCTATAACATAATCACTTGTACGTTGGTGCCTTGTACCTAAGGCCAACTCCTTCCAATTTACGAGAACGATAGTCGTGGAGTTTGCGGGCAAGGTGGCGCTACTAAGCTTACTAGACGGCGCGTGGAAAGCGATGAAGCTGGTCATGTCGGCCGCTTTTTTGTCATTCAAAAGATGGCTTTCAAAAAACATAAAATAATTGCTTTATTATATAACAAAAATTATGTTCTTTTTTAAACTGAACACAACTGACCACAAAGGGGACAAAACCATAATTTGTTGTCCTTAGTGAGTGGCCACGTTTATCATTGGTCGGTTTAAACACTTTTCTCCGGTGTTTAAACGATTGTTTATAGCAAGCCATATGGCGATGCTCTTTACCAATAAGAACTATCATATATATAAATGAATGCTAATTAAAAAGTTAGAAAAAGCTTGACTTCACTTGACATTTTTTGTTACTTTTAAAAGTTTATCATACAGTGACATTTTAAAATCAAACTACGTGTAGATCTCTGAGTATAGACCTACTGTTTTATGCAACATCAATCTCACCAGGCGTATTATTATAACTACAACATCAGTAAAAAGAAGGGTTTTAATTATCGATTCCTTTCGATATCGATTATTTCCAGTCCAGTTATCGACTAATTCAATGTGATTAATAGCAGCCAATCACTTCAAACCTCATGCTGCAATGGTTGTTCCATGCAGTGGGGTGAATGCGCAGGATTCTTGTGCGCAATGCCAATGGGAACCGAGCGGTTACCAACGTGCTCCTGTCCGAGTTACCAGCGAACTGCAACACAATCAAAATGGTTGACTTGTTTAACGCACCCTGTCGAGCCAAGTTATTATCATTATTGTATTCGAGGACTACTTATTGTGATGGTAAATATTGCTGCACAGCAAGAAAATGGGATTTTTTTCATCACCGTAGAACCGAGTTATCTGTGCTACGGTTTTACTCCATTTTGTTATTAAAGACACAAGCTTCACCTCCCAAATTTCGATTGGTCTGAGATATTTTAACCGAGATAAGCAGGCTTTTCCAAACATCGGCTTTCTCCCCAGCTTCGGGTCCCTCTCTTGCTCCTGAATCATAATAAAACCTTATAATATCGAATTCTTACATGAGCATTTGGTGTTCATATTTTGGGACTTGTTGAACCGACGTCATTCAAGGGGCAAGTCTTCTGCAGCCGTGTCCGGAGTTGAAGTCGAGATTAGAAAAACCACGAAACTATTTAACAGTGATTACTATACCTTTATTTGTGTGCCAAACGCATCAGTCACTTGATCCCAGGACTGAGCGTCATCGCTGTACGACACTCGGTACTCCGTCACCCATTGGTTGTGTCCGGAGTCTCCGCGCCCCTGGGTGATCAAACCAGTGATGGTGACTGTACCATTGAAGTCAACCCGTATCCATGGACTGTCTTCAGATCCGTCATAGCACCAGGCTGCTGCTAATCCTGTTCAACAAAATAACTGACTTTATAACACCTCATCCACAGATTCTGTATCTTGATTGGCCGATAGCGAGTCACATGGTACTTTCTATTTTTGCTATTTTTCTGTGCACGGCCAAAAGTACTTTACCCGTGGCAACCAAAGTACTACCATAATGGCAACCAAAGTACTATCCGGTTCGTAAGTGTGACGTCATCTCAACTTAACCATGCGTACTTGTACTTCACATTGTGAGCATAGCACGAACGGAACCGGTGTCATATGAAAATCGGACTCATATGAAAATCGGACTCTTTTCCCCTTTTTATTGGTTAAACCTTCTCACGTGACCGGTCCCTCTCCTAATTATATATGCATGAGCGTGCGCAATACCATCAATGAGTCCGTATTTCATAAAACATAAATTCATGCTACACCGGAGGCAAATTGAGTGTTTAGCCAATGGGCGCTTGTAATCAGTGGTTCGCGCGTGTGTATGACGTTTTACTAACAACCGGAGAGAGTACCGATTGAATATACATCACGTGCACAATAATTGTGTGTGTAAAAGACGTTAGCGCGCAACCTCGTCCCCAGTGCTTTCTTTATTTCCAACCTCGTTTCAAATAGTAAGCCCTGGATAGGAAACTTTCTTCCTGTATCCTGATTCGTTGCCGCAATTTGCTAATAATGAATTTATATCGTGTAGTTGCCTACTCCTTTTTTTTTCCAGTTTGCTCATAGTAATATGATATGTGATACTGCATATTGGCGGACCAGATTGTAACATTTTAACTTCCAAAAAATCGTGTTTTCATAACTCACGGCGCGACGAATTGATGCTGTTTTTACCCCAGACACCGCATACAAAAAAAAACGCTAATGTAACGCACATGCAGGTACCAGACTATTCCTCATTTGCATACGTGTGCAAAAATCTTGCACATATAAATGATCCAATACCAGGGCGAGAGAGCAGGTAGTGGTGGGCGCGTACTGCTCGACACCCTGGGGACACCCGAAGTTGATTAGCGCGTGATTCAACCCGTGAACTAGCCTTTAGTCAAGTCCCACGCGCTTTCCTGGACACGTGACGCACCCCGGATGCTGACACGTAAAAAGACTAGCGGGGGGGGGGGGCGAAGCCGCGAGGGCCTTTACCATCTCGTGTAGAACGCTTATGTTTTTGTTTTTTTTACATTTGTCTACCGATTTGGTAGACATGCATAATGCATTACCCGTTGTGAATTGACCAATGAAAATGCAGAATTACTAACGTAAATTAGCCGTCGTCTGGCGCCAGACAGCACGCGCGCGCGTGCTGTTGCTGGTAACCGCAAATCACCGTTAGATGATTGGTTTATATTGTTTGATTAAGTTATATTACGTGAATAAATGAATAAGTGATTAGTCCACGAGATAGTAAAGGCCCTCGCGGCTTCGCCGCTCGTGCTAGTCTTTTTACGTGCCAGCATCCGGGGTGCGTTACGTGTCCGGATGGTCCGGGTACAGGCGCGTGGGCCTTGACTAACCAACACGCGCACGTACTCCATTCGTTTGCATGCACTACACTTCCCGGTTCAAAATGACTTCACAATTCAGTACTCAATACCCAGGACGCGGTACTACATGGCCAAAGAAGGTCACAATAAAGAACTCTACAAGAAAACCAACGAGATCCCTTGGAGTAAAGCCATTACCAGAAGACGTCTTAGGTGGACAGGCCATCTCCTGACACTGCCCGAGGAAACACCTGCCTAGCAAGCGCTTCTAGAAGCGATCCGCAAGAACAATTAGCTGCCAAGAGGTGGATAACGAACCACGTGGTTGAATACAGTAAACACGGACCTGACAACCACGGGGGTCAACATCAAAGATCGACACACCTGGCACGTGGCATCCGACAGGAAGCAGTGGAGGACACTTACGGAGTGCGCAATGTCAGATCTACTTGACGCAGGCTCCTGGATGATGGCGCGGAATTACATTTGTGTGCAAATGCTGTCGTGCGCGTTGAGCGCAGCGCATTATTGTTCCCAAAAGAGCGCACCACTGAGTTAGGTTCAAACATTTCATGAAAGGGGTGGTTTGGAAGAGAGAAATACATTTCCCACCAATTTTGTATTGAAATTGAAGTTTATTTTAACTGTGTTCAGATTTAAATAATTTAAAATATTAAAACCAAGCAGAATCTGTGGGTGAAGTGTTTAAAACAAATATTGAATGCTTTATCTCGTGGTGAAGTAAAACTAGTCCCCTCGGTGATCCATGGAACATTCTATTTCATGGATCACCTTGGGAGGCTAGTTTTACTCATAGAGCTATATTAAATTACTCAAGCGCTAACTCATGTACAAAGTGATGCCTGCTGGGCGCATCCATGTTTGTACACAAACCTATGGAGAACTCGAAATTTTGTACGTTTTTTTGTAAGTCTATTTGCATATCTGCGTTTGTATTCCATGACGGTGGTTATCGAAGGCAATACGCCAAAAACCGAAACGCACGATCAGCAAATGAGCGTGTCATTTTGCTCTTCGCTTTCACCATGGTCTACTACAACAAACAAGGGGGCACCCATCCGCACGGACCCCCGCTGCCCCCCCCCCCCCCCCCGTAGTTACGCTACTGCATTTTCTTAATAAACTTCTTCGTGTAGCACTTTCAAAATCTAGGATATGAAAGCCCAATTAATAAGCTTTTTGTCCTGACGGTACAAGAATCATTTGAATCACTAAGGCACTTTTCAAGTTAGGGGATTTTAAACACTACCCCCGTTTTAAAGTTCTGACCACGGATCACCACAAAAAAAGTGTGTGTTCTTTCAGCAAAATGAACACAATGCACACACATCCATATGTAAATTGTTTTCGTTTTGCTGAAAGAACACTTACTTTTTTGTACATGTACTTGAAAATTACATAAGTGATTTGAATGATTCTTCTACTAATAGAAAGCTTATTAATTTGGCTTTTATATCCTACATTTTTGAAAGTGCTACATGCAGCACTTTATTGAAATAAATTGGTCGTGCCATTGGGGTTTCCTTATTTTTCTTTAATCGCCCTTTATAAGGAAAAAAATGAAATGAAAATGAAAGCAAAAACGAAAGCAAATATATTTTTCGAGTTGAAACTCGAAAATAACACGGAAAACATCTTTAATCTCACTAAATCCAAAAAGCCTACCTTGAGTATAAAGCCTGGCCCTGGGTGGGGCATGAGTAGGAAGGTTTCTATAGAATGACGAAGCTGTGATGCTTTCATCCGGGATGCGACCATCTTCCATCCCAAGAGGTCCCTCCACAAAGCAAGGAGAGTCACCTGAGGAAAAGGTGCGATCGCTTTGAGAAGTTTTGTACAAAGTAACCATTAATATTTTTTTAAAAGAACATACAGTGAAATCTCGACAAGTCAAACTCTGATAACTCAAAACCGTCAATCCATTGCCTTCAGTAGTATAACAATGCTATACAACCCTGCTTAACTCCAAACTCTGCTGAAGTCAAATTTTGAACCTGTTCCCTTGAGGTTTGGCTTATCAGGATTTCACTGTAGTATTGGCCTATTTGCAAGTGAAAGTTCAACGGGGAAGAAAAAATCGTTTTCTTCTGTTTAATGGCACGAGTAGATAGTTACGGATGCATAATTATGTGCCTCTTCCATCCTGCTCAACATTGAAAAACCAGAGCTTTGTCAATCCAAAGTGTGTGTCCTCTTCAGTCACAAGATGACCCAAATGAGTTGCCTGTATATACCTATCACAAACATCTTGGGAAACATAAAGATCACATGCTTATTAATATTATAATTATTCTTCGACGGCTCACCAGGATTTCAATTACAGTTAAAACAAAAATCCCTTCAAGTGCTGCTTGTTGCATTAGCTTTGAGCCTTTGAAATGAAACAGTAACACAATCTCACCATTTCTTTTAAAGTATTTCAACTTCTCTTCGTTGACTGACACGATCGAGTCATCGCTCAATTCACACCGTCTGGTATCTTTGGTATAACTGAAGTATTCGCAGTATTCTTCCTTGAGGCAGGCCGCGGCACACCTTAAGTAGGAGGCTCGTTGGCTTGACCGAATCACTCGATATTTGACGGTGCTGTTGAACTGTGAAGCAGCCGTGAAATCCGAAGATTTCACGGTAGGAAGATTACAGCCAGCTCCGCTCTGAACCACGCAGACAAAAAAAACCACGAGGCACCAAACAAGACGACAATGTCTTGGGTGATAAATAGGAAAATTCATTTCGTTTCGTTTAGGTTTGTTCAGCCATATAATACTCACATGTAGCTACTTCGAAACTGTTTCAGATTGTGTTGCAAACAGCGAACGGCGAAAGATCGTATACTACGCTGGCAATATTAAAGGCACGAGTATTATTGATCACCAAGTCACAATCGACAATAAACGGTTGATTAAGGCCACGCCCGTGGTTAAAAAAAGCAATGACAATAGCTGCGCTGCTAATAGCTTTCTCGCCCACATAACGTGTTCCGGCATGCACATTGTCACTGCTTGAAAAAAATGAAGGTCTTCAAAATAACTACTGAGACCTATTTATCTTGAAAACCTCCACACAAATATTGAAGAAGTCGACTTCAAGTTTGTATAGGCTTTGTCGTTCCTCTCATTTACACTTAATTGGAGGAGATTGAATTCTAACGAAAGGAAGCAATAGTCAATCGGACATTTCGTTGACAAGCTGTATGGTTGTTTAAAGTTTGCATTTATTTACATGTCAAAAGGAAATACTGAGAAAAGGTCTTTAAAGTTTCGATTGTTTTGTAGTCGTGATGATAAAACATGTCATTTCTTGTTTACCTTGAAAACACTTTTTTCCACGATTTTATACTATTTATTTTAAAAATGTGTAGTAAACATATCAAAGATTGCAAATATCAATAAATACACATTGAGAAAAAAATACCCCCATTGTTTGTGTGTTTGTTTTGTTTTTTGTTTGTTTTGTTTTTTGGTATATTTTTTTCCACTGCGGCTGTGCTCATGCCGTTTCCTCTTATTTTGCCAAAATGCCTTATAATGATTATATTCGCAAAGAGGGGGAAGCCAGACACTTTAACCTTCTCCAGATATTAGCAACATGAATGAGTTCCCTACCAGGGGCGGCGGAACGGGGCGGGTGGCAGGGGGCACTGCCAGATTTTCCCAAGTGCCCTCTTGCGGACATAAATGTGGCCCCTCGAGCATAAAACTCACATTTCGGGTAATTTGTTTTCAGTAACCATTTCCCAAAACCCTAACAATGCGCCCTGAAAATAGGCACATTATTCGTAGTTTGCATAATGGCCGGTTTTGAAGAGCGCCCCCTATTTTGGAAGATGGTACCAGCACCCCCCCCCCCTCCCCCCACCCCACTATATAATTGTACGGAGGCCAAGTGTCCGGTGAAAAAAAAATTGTCGACATTTCAGGACGGATGTGCAAAAAATACCAAAAATGCTTGATACGCTGCTGCACCAGCGAAATATGCCTTTGTGCCTCTTTTTGGTGATGCCCCCCTCCCCATTTTGAAACGTTCCACCGCCGCTGTCCCATAGGTATTTGAAGGCCTCGGCTTTATTGCTCAACATTAATTTCAGTTTAATACTTCACAACAAAAATACAAGGTATTATAGTGACTCTTCATGCATTCGTGCATATCGCCGATGACCGGTTTAAACACTTTTCTGCAGTGTTTAAACGATGGTTTAGAGCCAGCCACATGGCGATGCTCTTTACCAAATAGAATGGAGAAACTACCATAATGTGTAAATGAATGTTAATTAAAACTAAGAAACAGCTTGACTTCACTTGACATTTTGGTTACTTTTAAAAGTTTATCATACAGTGAAATTGTAAATCAAACTACGTGTAGAGTTCGGAGTAGACCTACTGTTTTATGAAACATTAATCTCACCAGGCGTATTGTAACTATCCACAATTAATATAAAGATGGGTTTCAATTATCGATTCCTTTCGATATCGATTATTTCCAGTTCAATTGTCGACTGATTCAATGTGATTAATAGCAGCCAATCACTTCAAACCTCATGCTGCAATGCTTGTTCCATGCAGTGGGGTGAATGCGCAGGATTCTGGTGCGCAATGCCAATGGGAACCGAGCGGTTACCAACGTGTTCCTGTCCGAGTTACCAGCGAACTGCAACAAATCAAAATGGTTGACTTGTTTAGCGCACCCTGTCGAGCCAAGTTATTATCATTATTTTATTTGAAGACAATACTTGTTGTGACGGTAAATATTGCTACACAGCAAGAAAGTGGGATTTTTTTATCACTCGAACTGAGTTATCTGTGTAAGGATTTACTCAATTTTATTATTAAAGACACAAACCTCACCTCCTAACTTTCAATTGGTCTGAGAGATTTTAACCAAGAAAACAGGGTATTCCAAAGATCGGCTTTCTCTTGTTGAACCGACGTCATTCAAAGGGCAAATCTTCTGAAGTCAAATCCGGAGTTGAAGTCGAGATTTGAGAATTCACAAAACTATTTTAACAATGAATCCTTTACCTTTATTTGTGTGCCAAACGCATCAGTCACGTGATCCCAGGACTGAGCGTCATCGCTGTACGTTACTTGGTACTCCGTCACCCGTTGGTCGTATTCGGAGTCTCCGCGCCCCTGGGTGATCAAACCAGTGATGGTGACTGTACCACTGAAGTCAACCTGTATCCATGGACTGTCTTCATATCCGCCATAGCACCAGGCTGCAGCATATTCTATTCAACCCCATAAAATATACTAGGGCAGTAAATCTGGCTCCAATATGAAGTTGTTTAACCACAGTCCCATTATCTTCGAACCAACGCTATAGTCGACCATAATTATAGACCAGTCGAAGTCGACTTTTCGGGACCAGCCCATACCGAGTAGTCTGAGTATCAAACGTTGTACAACGGAACCCTTTCCGTATCCAACATGTGATATATCTGAGCAATGCAAATTTTATGCGACCCCACGCGCCAGCCAATCGGAGTCGACTTTAGAAATTGTGACGTCAGTTCGATCAGAAATGTGGAATAAGCTATTGATTGGTCAATTTGAATGACATGTTTTTCTAATACAGCAACGGGTTACGGTTTCGAGTGTCCCTCTGAAAATTGCAATGCATTTTGCGCATCAACTAATACCCCCCCCCCCCTGCAAAAGCCGATTTATTATTTTACAGCTGATAATTCGAATAACTTGTTTACTGCTAGAAAACAAATGAAATTAAAAAGCGATTTTTTTTTGGGTTGAAACTCGAAAATAACACTGGAAGTGTAGATTGAATGTCAAATTAAACAAACCTACCTTGAGTATAAAGTCTGGCCTTGAGTGGGCCATGATTAGTGCGGTTTTTCCAAACAGACGAAGCTGTGATGCTTTCATCCGGGATGCGACCATCTTCCATCCCAAGAGGTCCCTCCACGGAGCAAGGACAGTCTCCTGAGGAAAAGGTGCGATAGTTGTGGGAGGTTTTGTACAAAATAACCATACCAAAACACCAACATAATCTACTTGCCAAGTAAAAGTCAAACGAGGGGGGATTCGGTTAAAAGTGGCACGAGCAGAAAGTTTGGCACGAGGACGAGCAGAAAGTGCTTCTTTCAACCCGCTCAACAATGAAAAACCAGAACTTTGTAAATCCAAAGTGTGTTCTCTTTTGAGTAAAAGGAGCACCAAAAAGAGTTCCCTGCAAATTGGACTCTCCGTACACAATCATCTTGGGAACCACTAAAGATGAATGCTTTTTTATTACAAAATGTGTTTCGACGGCTAATACAGGGTGTATAATAAAGGGAAACCCGATGCAAATCTAATAAAATATTCTAATAAATATTCTATAAACATCACACAAAAAACATAGTAAATATTTTCAAATAAGTTAAAGATTATGTGGAACACCAATGTGTTCTCTTCCCAATGATACCTCGAATGTGTGTCTGTAGCTACGGATGACTGAGCATTCGTTGTTATTCTGTCAAGGGTCAACACCTGCACCGGGCCAAGTTTGTGCAAAAGGGTAACTGGTATTCTCGGCATGTCGAACGGTTTAATTTAAAGAAAGAAATCCTCCTCTTTAAAACCATTTATTTAGTTTTGACACAGCGATTTGACCACTCTCAGTTTTGAAGTTAAATAACCCCTAATGGCCAATGCCTTCAATGTGGCTACCACCTCTTTCCACACAAAGCTCTGCATGAAGTCTAGTCCATTTCAACCTTTGCATAACAAATCAGCAAGCAATCTTAGCTAGGTAAAACTTAACCCAGTGCAGGTTTTGACCCTTGACAGAATAACAAGGAATGCTCAGCCATCCGTGGCCAAAGACACGCAATCAAGGTGTCATTAGAAAGAGGACACATCGGCGTTTCACATCTTTAACTTATTTGAAAATAATTATTTTTTATTTTTTAATTTACATTTACATCTGGGTTTCCTTTTTTTTTATACACCCTGTGTATAAAGATTTCAATTACACTTGAAACAAATCTCTCAAGGATCATTTACTCATCATGTAATTTATTCGATTTCAATTAATAACACCACTCAAAACCAAAAGAAGTCTTTTGAAAACCTAACCTGTTGAAGTTTCAGCTCAGTGGATATAACACTTTTCAAGAAAACAGTGGAAAACCATACACAACCTTTTGATTACGAAAAACCATTTCGTTTATTATCTCTTTCATTTTCGAAAGATCTGTCAATAATTGACTGATCGGTGGAAATCAACTACATTTCTTGACTTCTTCTAAATGAAAGCAATCCAGCAGACGAAATAATTTCACAGGGTGTTTAGAACCGGTACAATCTTTGATCCAGGTATATAGCTTTTTGATAAAAATACTGTAATAATTCTTTGGATAAATGCAAATTTCCCTATGTAAATGTGCCTTTCAAGTTCAGTAAGTTGTATTAGCTTTGAAATGAAATAACACCACAATAAGAAGGTCTTACCATTTCTTTTGAAGTATTTCAACTTCTCTTTGTTGACTGACACGATCGAGTCATTGCTCAATTCACAGCGTCTGGTATCTTTAGTATAACCGAAGTATTTGCAGTCTTCTTCCTTGAGGCAGGCCGCGGCACACCTCAGGTAGGAGGCTCGTTGGCTTGACCGAATCACTCGATATTTGACGGTGCTGTTGAACTGTGAAGCCGTGAAATTCGAAGATTTCACGGTAGGGAGATCAGAGCCAGCTCCGCTCTGAGCCACGCAGACAACAAAAAGAGCGAGGCACCAAACAAGACGACAATGTCTTGGGTGATAAGTAGGAAAATTCATTTCGTTTCGTTTAGGTTTGTTCAGCCATATAATACTCACATGTAGGCCACTTCGAAACTGTTTCAGATTGTGCTGCAAACAGCGAACGGCGAAAGATCGTATACTACGCTGGCAATAATTAAAGGCACGAGTATATTATTGATCACCAAGTCACAATCGCCAATAAACGGATAATTAAGGCCAAGCCCATGGTAAATTACCGCAATGACAAAAGCTGCGCTGCTAATAGCTTTCTCGCACGCATAACGTGCTCAGCCTGCTCCAGCATGCGCATATTCACTGTTTGAATAAAATGCAGGTCTTCAAGATATTTACTGAGACCTATTTATCTTGAAAACCTACACACAAATATTGAAGAAGTCGACTTCAAGTTTGTATTGGCATTGTTGTTCCTCTCGTTTGCACTTAACTGTAGGAGATTGAATTCTAACGAAAGATATTAACGGCACGCGTATTTGTCGCTTATACCAAGTCACATTCCTATACATAACTGCGTTCGGTACGTTGAGAGTTTCCAACTAATGTCTTTTGGCGAAATGGCTCATGTAATTGGTTTTTTTTCTTCAGCGATATCCACTTAATGCATCCTTGTGCTCCTTGTAATTATTCTTAAAGGTTTTCCGGAGACCTTTATTGCTAATAGTAATAATCATTCCAATACATGTAGGAATGATCAATATGTCATTAGGCAGACGGGATCTTCAGTGTTACAGCTGTTTCAGCACTGAAAGCTGCCAGAATTTCAGGACGATTATCGTGGTCAACTTGCTGTCTTTGGTGTCTCGTTGTTAAGTACATGAGAGTGAGTCACTCGAGCAAACTTAATGCACAAATTAATGTACAACATGAGCCCACTTTGGTTAGTAACTGTATGCTATAAAAGTCACTAACAACTGTAAAGTGCACCCACCTGCAGTGATATTACGGTAAAACGCCCTGAAATGACAGGGGAAAAAGAAACTTATAAATTATCAAATTTTTACAAAATGTAAACCAGAGGAGCTGGCTCATTTTTTTCGTGAAGTTGGCAGATGATGGATATTTGAACCAAATTATGTTCCCGACTACTATAGCTTTACTGTAGATACCCCCAATTATTTTAAAGATATCTCTTAAGTAAAAACATCTCAAAAAGTTAAAAGCCTATGAGTGATTATTTTTGGGCTATACTACCAGTATAGCGAGTAAAGCCCGATTTTATTTTGCATGCTTTTCTGCACTCAGCCTGCCTACTACATTCCATGCAAAATGTTTTTTTTGTTTTCCAATTCGGATCCCCAGAAAAGGTGGTTTGAACTTTTTAGTGATATCAATATTAACAATTAGTACTTTGGCTAAAATACAAATGACACGTTGCCAGGTTTAGTTTGGCGTATGTTGTGACTGAGAAAGCGCTCAGCCAGTGTGTTAACATAATTACACTCCCTTTGTTCGATGGATAATAAGGCATTTAATTCTAGCAGGGCGCCTTCAGCACTAAGCATTTAGTAACATACTCATGTAGAGCAGGAACTAGACTTATCAGATCCTGAAGGGTGCACCCCAGTATAAAATTTCCCATAGACACCAGTGATAAATGGCCATACTTCAAAATTCATTTAAAATTACTCAGAACTCTCACAGCTGTTCAGGCTGCACAGAAAAATGATGATCAACATGTCATCTTTCATTTTTTTCTTCACTTTTTTGGTGGGTCGACCACTGACTTTTCGAGAAATGCTCACCCAAAGAAGAACACCCCTAAAAAGAGTGATGTTTCCCAAACTGGAAAAGTAGCCATCTTAAAAAAGGTGCATTGCCATATCTCTTCAATTTCCCAATTGCATAGCTCTCAGAACTCTCTATATACAACAATTTGAGTGTACAGCATATTCCGGAGCTCGTCGGACGGACTTTTGGCCTTTTTATTTGGGTACATACCCTTAAATCGCCCATCTAAGAAAAGCACGCCTTCTATCGCTAGATCATTACTGACTTTGACGGAAATCTGCCCAAAGATGGCGATATTTGGGGTGGGTAAACTCTTTCGTATTTACCCAATAGCACCCGCCTATTGCGCCCCCCCCCGCCATAAATATACAAAAAGACTGATGGACAGGCAAACCACAGACAACTCTGCTACACAGTGGCCTCGTATGTTGTACCCATCCCATAATGCAATAGATCGCCTGAAGCGTTTGAGAACCACTTAAGATCCTGTTGATCGGTCTTAATATGAAGAGTTTAGGAGCGGGGAAGCCCAGAGAGGGTTAGGGGTAGTCATGGGGGGAGGGTGCAGACGTGAAAAAGAGCCCCACCTCATCCGTGCTGAAAGGTAGACAGGGTTTTTTTTCACCGGTTACCCAGCCTCCCTAAAAATCAAAAACGGGGGAGGGGGAGGGCTATACATAACACCATCGAACAATAGGTAGTCAACGAAACGTGGCGCTTTTCATGGCGGCACAAATGCCGACGTTCGAGCCACGTTACAAAAGGTCAGGAGCGCCCCTTTTTTAATGAGTGCCCTTTTTCCACGAGTGCCCTATTTTTTCCCGAGTGCCTTTTTCATGAGCATTTTTTTTCACGGGCTGCCTTTTTCACCCCCCCCCCCCCTTTTCGCAATTGCCCTTGTGAGGAAATTGTGAAAAAAAGGGCACTCGTTAAAAAAGGGCACTCGCGAAAAAAGGGGAGCTCGTGCAAAAAGGCCGCTCGTGAAAACAAGATTGGGGGGGGGGGAGGGGGGTTAACATAGCCCCTCCTCCTTGTCTACGCCACTGATAGCGCACTGCGCCCAAAGCCTCAGCTAGACAATTTACCATGACCGTCGATCCGTTGGTCCTTATAGAGGGGTCGCTCAACCGAATTGGACATCATTCTCTTCAAGTTTCTGATGAGCTTGCCAGGGAGGGAAAGGGAGAGGGGTGGGGAAAGCCCTTGAGCAGGGGTGGGTTCATATGTGTAATCGTAAAATACGTCTATGCATCTCCCATAAAAACTCTTAGTTAAGTTAGGCAAATACAGCAATATGGTTGCGAAGGCAAAGCGTCAGTCGTTGTCAGGGAAAGCTAATCCGATTACGTACTAAGACGTTGTAACAGAGCATTGAAATCCGTGAGCCCCAAAACATGGCCTTTTGAACGTTGTGTTTCTCAGAAAATATGCTCGGTATGCTTAAAATGTTACAATCTAACTGACGAAGAAATTCTAAACTTCATGTCAGTGAAAAAAAACGCCGTCATCAATGCCGAAACGTCAATACTGGTTACTGTCAAAGCTGACCTTCAAGTCTGGAAGAAATCGTTCGAAAACTTCCCCAAAATTAATGTATGTATTTATCCCAATTTCTAGGAATTCATCCAAATTTTTATTTCACGAGTAGTTGAACACTTATATTCCGAATTTCAGCTTAATCTGTTGTTGCTGACACACCATATGCAAGGAAAATTTCGAAGAGGATCAAAAAAATTATTTGCCGACCCAACCCATGTGCGTTGTTCAGCAAAGCGCTGTAGGCGCTACAGCTGACCGATTTCGGCCCGGCACACAATGGTGAAGGGGATATTAGCATATTCATTAGCGTCACTCGGCGTGACATGGCGTGGGTTTCGGTATCGACCAATGGAAGCCGGGAAAAAGGGTGATATTTGTTAATTAATAACTCATGCAGAATTAATGTTGGTAATGAGAGCAGGAGCCCCATTTGGGGATACAAATTGTGTGCTTTCAAGTCACTAACAACAGACTGTAAAGTGCACCTACAAAAGTGAAGTGAGATCACGGCAAAACGCCCTCAATTGTCAGGAAAAGAAAGTAACATGTTTAATGCTAAAAAAAAGTGCATTTTACAAAATTAAAACCAAGAGGGGCAGCTCTTTATTTTCATATGCAGGTGACAGATGATGAATATCTCAACCTAATTATGTGAATTGCTGATACTACAGCTATACTATAGATACTGCCAGTTATTTTCTAAGATCCTCTCAACACTGTGAACATTTAAAAGCCTCGGAGTGATTATTTTCGGGCTACTACCAGCAGCGAGGAAAGTTGGCCTGATTTGGTTTTGCATGGTTATTTTCTGCACTCGATCGGTCCCAGTCTGGAAAACAAGAGCCTGCTTCCTACATTCCCTGCAAAACGTGTTGTTTATTTTCGAATTCGGATCCCCAGAAAAGTGGTTTAAACTATTTACAGTGATGTATTAACGGTACTTTGGCCAAAATTCAATGGTACGTTTCGAGGTTTTAATTGGCAATGTGACTTCGAGATAGCACCCAAGCCAGTACGTTCATTCCGTTTGTTCGATTGATAATAAGGCATTTAATTCTAGCTGCGCGCCTTCAACACTGAAGCAATTAACACAATCTTGTCAAGGAGGAACGACCGTGACTTATCAGATACTGAAATCATCCATCGAAGCAAAGCACGCCCTCTATCGCTAGATTATACTTTGACGGGAACGTATAAGAAGTGCACACAGGAGTGCGCTAATTGGAGTAGTTAAACTCTTTCGTATTTACCCACATTAACCCTCTGAAAAAAACCCGCCCGCATATTGTGTCGATGTCCGCCATAAAATAATCAAAAATGCTGATGGATTTTGAAAAGGCTGATGGATAGACAAACCACAAACAACTGCTACAACATGAGAAATATCACAACGCGCACAATGCATGCATCCTGATGACATACCAGATTTCTCTCCAAAAGGCCCAACTATACTTCACTAACTTCGTCTTGTTTTCGTGGCCTCAACTTGTACCCACCCCATAATGCAATAGATCGCCTGAAGTGTTTGAGAACAACTTAAGATCCTGTCGATCCGGCTTAATGTGAAGAGTTTAGGACGGGGAAGCACAGAGGGGGTTGGGTCACGGATCCTACACACAAGGATTAACGACTATGCGTGATAACGGCCCGCACTGGTAAATACCATGAATACTTGTCAACAAAGGAAAACCTCTGCGCTGCGCGCGGCGGCTTTAAGATTTGCAGGCTCTGCGTCCGATTTGCTGGTGTCGAAGTCTGTCAAGCCAGCTAATTATATTTTTGAATATTCATGAGTCTACTTTTTGATTGAATTCTGATAAGTAATAACTACATCACCATGTTAACGCCGAGCACAGTATCTTTAGCTTCAAAATGAACTATGAAATGTCGCATTTGTTTTATCGGTTCGGGACCACATCTCTCTCAAACGTTTTAATGAAAGCCGAATTAACAACGAAATTTGGGCAAACGGTGTTCTCCTCGAAATTGGACGTTTATTTCCCGGGTAAATACTTAATCTATGACGACAATAACTGCACAGTACCATCTGTTATATCCTGAAGTACATAATTTTTTTTTACAACTTTGGAACTTACAAAACGAGTAGTTTTGCTCACAGTTTTATGAGTTTTACAAAATTAAGTCCCCTATCCCTTACATTTATTTACAGGCAAATTACAGGCGTACTTTTAACAACAAACAGGAGGAAAAGAACAGCTATAACATGATCACTTATACGTTGGTGCCTTGTACCTAAGGCCAACTCCTTCCAATTTACGATAACGATAGTCGTGGAGTTTGCGGGCAAGGTGGCGCTACTAAGCTTACTAGACGGCGCGTGGAAAGCGATGAAGCTGGTCATGTCGGCCGCTTTTTTGTCATTCAAAAGATGGTTTTCAAAAAACATTAAATAATTGCTTTATTATATAACAAAAATTATGTTCTTTTTAAAATGAACACAACTGAACACAAAGGGGACAAAACCATAATTTGTTGTCCTTAGTGAGTGGCCACGTTTATCATTGGTCGGTTTAAACACTTTTCTCCGGTGTTTAAACGATTGTTTATAGCAAGCCATATGGCGATGCTCTTTACCAATGAGAACTATCATATATATAAATGAATGCTAATTAAAAAGTTGCTAATTTAAAAGAAAAAGCTTGACTTCACTAGACATTTTTTGTTACTTTTAAAAGTTTATCATACAGTGACCTTTGAAAATCAAACTACGTGTAGATCTCTGAGTATAGACCTACTGTTTTATGCAACATCAATCTCACCAGGCGTATTGTAACTACACAATTAATATAAAGATGGGTTTCAATTATCGATTCCTTTCGATATCGATTATTTCCAGTCCAGTTATCGACTAATTCAATGTGATTAATAGCAGCCAATCACTTCAAACCTCATGCTGCAATGCTTGTTCCATGCAGTGGGGTGAATGCGCAGGATTCTTGTGCGCAATGCCAATGGGAACCGAGCGGTTACCAACGTGCTCCTGTCCGAATTACCAGCGAACTGCAACACAATCAAAATGGTTGACTTGTTTAGCGCACCCTGTCGAGCCAAGTTATTATCATTATTGTATTCGAGGACTACTTATTGTGATGGTAAATATTGCTGCACAGCAAGAATGGGATTTTTTTCATCACCGTAGAACCGAGTTATCTGTGCTACGGTTTTACTCCATTTTGTTATTAAAGACACAAGCTTCACCTCCCAAATTTCGATTTGTCTGAGATATTTTAACCGAGATAAGCAGGCTTTTCCAAACATCGGCTTTCTCCCCAGCTTCGGGTCCCTCTCTTGCTCCTGAATCATAATAAAACCTTATAATATCGAATTCTTACATGAGTATTTGGTGTTCATATTTTGGACTTGTTGAACCGACGTCATTCAAGGGGCAAGTCTTCTGCAGCCATGTCCGGAGTTGAAGTCGAGATTTGAAAAACCACGATACTATTTAACAGTGATTACTATACCTTTATTTGTGTGCCAAACGCATCAGTCACTTGATCCCAGGACTGAGCGTCATCACTGTACGACACCTGGTGCTCTGTCACCCATTGGTTGTATCGGTCACCACGCCCCTGGGTGATCAAACCAGTGATGGTGACTGTACCATTGAAGTTAACCTGTATCCATGGACTGTCTTCAGATCCGTCATAGCACCAGGCTGCAGCTGATCCTGTTCAACAAAATAACTGACTTTATAACACCTCATCCACAGATTCTGTGTCTTGATTGGCCGATAGCGAGTCACATGGTACCTTCTATTTTTGCTATTTTTCTGTGCACGGCCAATAGAACTATACCCGTGACAACCAAAGTACTACCATTATGGCAAACAAAGTACTATCCGGTTCGTAAGTGTGACGTCATCTCAACTTTAGCCAATGGGCGCTTGTAATCAGTGGTTCGCGCGCGTGTATGACGCTTTACTAACAACTGGAGAGAGTACCGAAGTGAATACATCACGTGCATAATTTTTGGGTGTGTAAAAGACATTAGCGCGCAACCTCGTCCCCAGTGCTTTCTTTATTTCCAACCTTGTTTCCAATAGTAAGCCCTGGATAGGAAACTTTCTTCCTGTATCCTGATTCGTTGCCGCAATTTGCTAATAAAGAATTTATATCGTGTAGTTGGCGTTTCCAACATGCATTATGTGTTTTCACGATCATTGCAATTATAACGTCCACGCCTTCTCAATAATACTCCTTTTCTTTCCATTTTGCTCATAGTAATATGATATGTGATACTGCATGTTGGCGGGCCAGATTGTAGCATTTTAACTTCCAAAAAATGGTGTTTTCATAACTCAAGGCGCGACGAATTGATGCTGTTTTTACCCCAGACACCGCATACAAAAACAAACATTAATGTAACGCACATGCAGGTACCAGACTATTCCTCATTTGCATACGTGTGCAAAAATCTTGCACATACAAATGATCCAATACCAGGGTGAGAGAGCAGGTAGTGGTGGGTGCGTACTGCTCGACACCCTGGGGACGAGGTTGATTAGCGCGTGATTCAACCCGTGAACTAGCCTTTAGTCAAGTCCCACGCGCTTACTCGGACACGTGACGCAACCCGGATGCTGAGACGTAAAAAGACTAGCGGGTGGGGGGGGGGGGGGGGGGCGAAGCCGCGAGGGCCTTTACCATCTCGTGTAGTTTTTTTTTTTTTTACATTTGTCTACCGATTTGGTAGACATGCATAATGCATTACCCGTTGTGAATTGACCAATGAAAATGCAGAATTACTAACGTAAATTAGCCGTCGTCTGGCGCCAGACAGCACGCACGCCATGGCGCGCGTGCTGTTGCTGGTAACCGCAAACCACCGTTAGATGATTGGTTTACATTGCTTGATTTATATTACGTGAATAAATGAATGAGTGATTAGTCCACGAGATAGTAAAGGCCCTCGTTCGCTCGTACCCCCCGCCCTGCAAACAGGACGCTGGGATACTCTGATGAGCTTCACAGAATCTTGTGAAGGAAGTGGTCTATGACCTGTGTATAAAGCATCTGGCTGCAGCTGTTCAAGACCGCAGTTAGACAATGTGCGCAAATGCTATCCGTAAACTTCCTATAGAATTGCGCACATTCCATACCGGATGTGATTTCTGTTTCATTGCGGACCATGTGGACAAAATTTTGAGCGTCGCATAATGCAATCCGACCGTTCGTGAGTCGAAACGGAGCCTGAGCAAGTGGCGGGAATTGTAAATGTGGGGATTTGATAATGATGACTAGTTGCCCCTTTAATGATAGCGCAGTGTACTCCTTTAATAGGGAGTCGCCGCCGCAAAGTGCTCTGCACGGTCTAATCAACGGTGTCCGTGCGCCGTTGGAAAATAGACCCACACTTTACTTCAAATAACTACGAGATCTTTTGTATTAATTGATTTTGTAATGATTCTATTATGTGGGGTAGTTAAGGAAATCCCAATTTATCTAGTTTCAAGGGGATATATTTCATACTAGGCTCTCTTTCATTAAGCTATGTTTATGTAAACAAAGCGCAGTGATACATAAGTTTGCCATCGTTCGGTCTCTTTCAGCGTCGCTTTGACAAAAGTCAGAAGGACATTTCTGTTTGAGGGAAGCGAGGCGAGAGCCAGCCCTGGCCGGCTGTTTACATTGACAAGAACGAGTGTTGGGGGTAATAAATTAGACGCAAAATAAAACATCTGAACCACCGTCCTGGTCTGTGTGTGAGTGAAGTTTCCTTCTCTGCTCTCCCTTACCATCTCTGGGAACAACTTCCCCTCCCGTTGATCTTCATTGGTTGACAACCTATTTCCATGGCAACGTGGGATTACAACATAAATTTACAACACAGATAAGTTTTACAGAATTTCCTACATTATTACGCTTTTCAAGGAGAAAAAAACATCTCTAAACTGGAATAAAAGAGTAATGAATCAGTCTTAACGGCCGTTTCAAACCTTGCAAACCTTGCAAACCTTGCAGAGTCATGACCGTGATGACGCGCAGGTCACTGGTCACGCAAAATCCAACCAATCAGAGCGTGAAATTCATCAGAGTATCCCAGCGTCCTGTTTGCAGGTCGGGGGGTACGAGCGAAAGGCCCTCGCGGCTTCGCCGCTCGTGCTAGTCTTTTTACGTGCCAGCATCCGGGGTGCGTTTCCGGATGGTCCGGGTACAGGCGCGTGGGACTTGACTAAAGGCTACCCGTGAACCAACACGCGCACGTACTCCATTCGTTTGCATGCACTACACTTCCCGGTTCAAAATGACTTCACAATTCAGTACTCAATACCCATGGCGCGGTACTACATGGCCAAAGAAGGTCACAATAAAGAACTCTACAAGAAAACCAACGAGATCCCTTGGAGTAAAGCCATTACCAGAAGACGTCTTAGGTGGACAGGCCATTTCCTGACACTGCCCGAGGAAACACCTGCCTAGCAAGCGCTTCTAGAAGCGATCCGCAAGAACAATTAGCTGCCAAGAGGTGGATAACGAACCACGTGGTTGAATACAGTAAACACGGACCTGACAACCACGGGGGTCAACATCAAAGATCGACACACCTGGCACGTGGCATCCGACAGGGAGCAGTGGAGGACACTTACGGAGTGCGCAATGTCAGATCTACTTGACGCAAGCTTCTGGATGATGGCGCGGTATTATATTTGTGTGCAAATGCTGTCGTGCGCGTTGAGCGCAGCGCATTATTGTTCCCAAAAGAGCGCACCACTGAGTTGGGTTCAAACATTTCATGAAGGGGGTGGTTTGGAAGAGAGAAATACATTTCCCACCAATTTTGTATTGAAATTGAAGTTCTTTTTAACTGTGTTTAGATTTAAATAATTTAAAATATTAAAACCAAGCAGAATCTGTGGGAGAAGTGTTTAAAACAAATATTGAATGCTTTATCTCGTCGTGAAGTAAAAGTAGTCCCCTCGGTGATCCATGGAGCATTCTATTTCATGGATCACCTTGGGAGGCTAGTTTTACTCATAGAGCTATATTCAGCGCTAACTCATGTACAAAGTGATCCCTGCTGGGCGCATCCATGTTTGTACACAAACCTATGGAGAACTCAAAATTTTGAACGATTTTTTTTGTAAGTCTATTTGCATATCTGCGTTTGTATTCCATACCGGTGGTTATCGAAGCCAATACGCCCAAAACCGAAACACACGATCAGCAAATGAGCGTGTCATTTTGCTCTACGCTTTCACCATGGTCTCCTATACACAGACTAGGGGGCACCCCGGGGGGCACGGACATCCGCTGCAACCCCCCCCCCCTCCCTCCCGTAGTTACGCTACTGCATTTTCTTAATAAAGTTCTTCGTGTAGCACTTTCAAAATCTAGGATATGAAAGCCCAATTAATAAGCTTTTTGTAGTACAAGAATCATTCGAATCACTTAGGCACTTTTCAAGTTACGGAATTTTAAACACAACCCCCGTTTTAAAGTTCTGACCACGGATCACCACAAAAAAGTGTGTGTTCTTTCAGCAAAACGAAAACAATTAAATGCACACACATCCCTATGCAAATTGTTTTCGTTTTGCTGAAAGAACACTTACTTTTTTGTACTTGAAAAGTACATATGATTTGAATGAATCTTCTACTAAAAGAAAGCTTATTAATTTGGCTTTTATATCCTACATTTTTGATATTGCTACATGCAGAACTTTATTGAAATAAATTGGTCGTGCCATTTGGGTTTTCTTATTTATCTTTTTACTCGCCCTGTATATATAGGGAAAAAATGAAATGAAAACGAAAGCAAATATATTTTCGAGGTGAAACTCGAAAATAACACGGGAAACATGTATTTAATCGCACTAAATCCAAAAAGCCTACCTTGAGTATAAAGCCTGGTCCTGGGTGGGGCATAAGTAGGGAGGTTTCTATAGAATGACGAAGCTGTGATGCTTTCATCCGGGATGCGACCATCTTCCATCCCAAGAGGTCCCTCCACAAAGCAAGGAGAGTCACCTGAGGAAAAGGTGCGATCGCTTTGAGAAGGTTTGTACAAAGTAACCATTAATATATTTTTTTAAAGAACATACAGTGAAATCTCGACAAGTCACACTCCGATAACTCAAAACCGTCAATCCATTGCCTTCAGTTGTATAACAATGATATACAACCCTGCTCAACTCAAAACTCTGCTGAAGTCAAATTTGAACCTGTTTCCTTGAGGTTTGGCTTATCAAGATTTCACTTTAGTATTGGTCTGTTTGCAAAGTGAAAGTTCAACGGGGAAGAAAGAATCGTTTTCTTCCGCTTAATGGCACGAGTAGATAGTTTCGGATGCATATGTGCCTCTTCCATCCTGCTCAACATTGAAAAACCAGAGCTTTGTAAATCCAAAGTGTGTGTCCTCTTCAGTAACAAGATGACCCAAATGAGTCGCCTATATATACTTATCACAAACATTTTTTTCATTAATTTTTTTATCGAACTCTCGCGGTCAAAAGACCGAATTGCGGTTCAATGTACAAAGATTAAAAGTTATCACTTATATAAAAACTCCATTAAAACATTATTAATTAAAATTACACACACACAAATTTTGACCAAAAAGATGAACAATACATTTAAAAGCATACTTAACATTAAAATCACATTAACATTTTCAGATTGTGAAAACAAGAAAAAGAAAGAAAAAAAAAAAAACGGCACTATACAATAATAAAAAAAAAAATGGTCCAGCCTTTTTCAAAATCTAACCGGCAGTTGAAATTTAGGGGTGGTATATATCCTGGAGAGTTTTTTTTTTTTATATAATTTGTAAATTTTTGGGATTTTTTTTTTTTTTTTTTTTCGTGTTTGTATAGGTAATGTGATTATTATAAAACTGTTGACAATCAAATGCGCATACATGCGTTTAGTAGTTTTGTAAGGTACGGGACAGTACTTTTGGAGTACCTTACCACCTTTATTTTAGGTTCAATGAACTGTCGTCTTTGTCTTAGTTCCATGGCATGAACTCTACTGTTTAGGGGGAACCAACTCTTAAAACGATCAGAAGCAACACAAGATTTGGCAAATTGTAAACAAAGATCTTCCTTCCTGTTAGCCAAGGTTTTCATACTAAATCTAGACAATGCATGATCATAAGTGGAGTGATCCTGATCTAAGATTATCTTAAATGCCCGTTTTTGGATTGCTTCAATATATGATGTTTGATTTGATGTAAGACCAGAGTGCCACACAGGGGCAGCGTATTCTAAGACAGGACGAACATAAGTAGTAAATATTGTTACAAGATCGTTTCTGGGAACACCAAACCTTTTTAAACGACTAAGGATGTGGAGGCGTCTACTACTTTTAGAGATCATTTCTTGGACCTGGGTGCTCCATTTAAGGTCACTCTGAATCCAAACTCCTTACAACTTTGTTTGTGCTACAACATCAACTATGTTATCACCAATCTTTAAAGAAGGTGGGTCGGGGGGATTTTTCCCAAAGTGAAATTGCATAGTTTTACACTTAGATGGATTAAGCGTAAGTTTGTTAGCCTGAGACCAGTGAAACAAATCATCCATGTTATTTTGCATAAAAGAATGGCTATTGACTGATCTGATCTCACCTAAGCTGAGGTCATCGACATATTTCCATTTGTGACCAACGGAGTCAGCGCAGGCGTCGTCAATGGTGGCCAAAAAAATAATTGGACCAAGTTTTGTCCCTTGAGGAACTCCACATGTAAGGTGTTCCCAATCAGAAATGGCTGATTGATAACGAACCCTCTGACGCCTGCACGAAAGAAAGCTAATGATCCATGGAACAATTTCAGATCTAACTCCAAGGGAGATCAGTTTAGTCACAGCGATTGTATGATCAACACAGTCGAATGCTTTAGAAAAATCTGTTAACACTAGAGTGCCTGTTGTTTTGGGTTGATTACTACCTTTATAAAAGACATTCAGCAGATCAACTAAACAATGTGTTGTGGATGACCCGCCAAGGCTACCATACTGATGTTGATCAAGATTTCCAGCAATATCATGGAGCAGCCATCTTGATATGAAAGTTTCAACAATTTTAGAAAATTGTGATGTAAGTGATATGGGTCTCAGCTTATCAATTGAAGCAGGGAGCTCTTTTGGGATTGGTGCAATAATAGCATCTTTCCAAACCTGTGGGACCACTCCTTCCTTAAGAGAGGAATTTAAAATATCTGTGATTGGGAAACTCAATTCACATGCAAATTCTTTAATGATCTTATTAGGAATATTGTCTGGTCCAGCTGATTTGGTGATGTTGATTTTCCGCAGTTCATGATACATTTCCCACTCATAGACATGAAGTGGTTGATTAGCTGGGAGAAATGTCGGCAAATCATTCCTGTTTATAGAAGGCCTGCTTTGAGCTGTATTTGCAAAATTCAAGTTAATTCTTTCTGCAATAGCCATGTCATCATTAATTGATACACCTGGAACATTAAGTGTGAGTTGTGGTTTAAGGCGATTTCCCAAACATCTTGGGAAACATAAAGATCACATGCTTAATATTAATATTATTTTCGACGGCTTACCAGGATTTCAATTACAGTAAAAGCAGAAATCCCTTCAAGTGCTGCTTGTTGCATTAGCTTTGAGCCTTTGAAATGAAACAGTAACACAATCTCACCATTTCTTTTGAAGTATTTCAACTTCTCTTCGTTGACTGACACGATCGAGTCATCGCTCAATTCACACCGTCTGGTATCTTTGGTATCACTGAAGTATTCGCAGTATTCTTCCTTGAGACAGGCCGCGGCACACCTTAAGTAGGAGGCTCGTTGGCTTGACCGAATCACTCGATATTTGACGGTGCTGTTGAACTGTGAAGCAGCCGTGAAATCCGAAGATTTCACGGTAGGGAGATTAGAGCCAGCTCCGCTCTGAACCACGCAGACAATAAAAAGAACGAGGCACCAAACAAGACGACAATGTCTTGGGTGATAAATAGGAAAATTCATTTCGTTTAGGTTTGTTCAGCCATATAATACTACTTCGAAACTGTTTCAGATTGTGTTGCAAGCAACGAACGGCGAAAGATCGTATTCTGTGCTGACAATAATTAAAGGCACGAGTAGATGTATTGATCACCAAGTCACAATCGACAATAAACGGATGATTTAGGCCAGAAAATGGTCTATGGTAAATTAACGACAATAGCAAATGGACTTGTTGACAACGAATGGTGCATAATAACGCAACCTCGTCCCTAGTGCTTACTTTCTTTCCAACCTCGTTTCCAATAGTAAGCCCTGGATAGGAAACTTTCTTCCATATATCCTGATTCGATACCGCAATTTGCTAGTAATGGATTTATATCGCGTAGTTGGTGTTGTTATTTCCAACGTGCATTACGTGTTTTCACGTTAATGGTAATTTTAACGTCCATGCCTTCTCAAAAATACTCCTTTTTCTATTTTGCTCATATTAATATGAAATTTGATACTGCATATTGGCGGGCAAGATTGTTACATTTTAACTTTCAAACAAAATCGTGTTTTCATAACTCACGGCGCCACGAATTGATGCTGTTTTTACCCCAGACACCGCATACAAAAACAAACGCTTATGTAACGCGCAGGCAGGCACCAGACTATTCCTCATTGCACACGTGTTCAAAAAATCTTGCACATACAAATGATCCAATACCAGGGTGAGAGTGCAGGTAGTGGTGGGCGCGTACTGCTCGACACCCTGGCGACGAGGTTGATAATAACGTGCTTGTATACAGGAATTGTCACTGCTTGAAAATATTAAGGTCTTCAAAATAATTTTTGAGACCTATTAATTTTATCTTGAAAACCTGCACACAAAAACTGAGAAAAGGTGCAAAATATTTAAAGCAAAACGAGAAAAATATTGAATAAGTCGACTTCAAGTTTGCATTGCCCGTGTTGTTCCTCTCGTTGACTCTGGAGGAGGTTGGATTCTAGCGAAATATATTAATGGCGCGTGTATTTGGCGCGTATACCAAGTCACCTATCTAACTTCGTTCGGTGCGTTGATATTTTCGAACTAATGGCCCGGTGTAATTGATTTTCCCAAAGCAATCCACTAAATGGGCCCTTATGCTCCATGTAATTAATTTTCGTATGGGCAGTTTCAAATGTTTTTCCGGAGCCCCTTTATGTTATTATGTAGTGTAGGAGCTAGACAGTGTTATGGTTTGAGGGTGCAGACCAGTAAATCGGTCCGAAATTGCCTACGCCGGCCAAATCACGATTTGCATGCCCTAAAAATCTTCAGTATTTGAGCATGCTGTGGGCCATGAACTTGAGGGTTTGTAAAAAATATGGGTGGAAGCCGTGCACAGGACTGGGAGCTTGCAGTTCTGTGTAATTTGGATGTAATTTGGACCCTAAAAGCGCTCGATTTTGCAATGGAGTATAGGCATCGTTTTTCAAAATGGCGATGGTCTTCAGGTCTATATTTAGGGGTGATCATCTTCAGAAGGAAATTTCTCCTAAAAGTCATCAGTTGACCCCCCAAAAATTGAAAAGAAAATGAAAGATGATGAAATAAGCTTTAATTTGATGTGTGTCTCGAACACCTTGGAGAGTTGTGAGTATTTTCCCCGAATTTTTGAAGTGGGAGCATTTACCATTGGGGTCTATGGAAGTTTATTTACTGGTCTGCTACCTTGATAACCTGCCGCAGCGATAACCCGCCGCCGCGAGAGGGCGCTATCACAACCAACCAATATCTCCCACGAATCCGTTAGAACAACGTCTAGGCCAACCTCGTCCCCAGGGTGTCGAGCAGTACGCGCCCACCACTACCTGCTCTCTCACCCTGGTATTGGATCATTTGCATGTGCAAGATTTTTGAACACGTATGCAAATGAGGAACAGTCTGGTGCCTGGATATGCGTTACACATTAGTGTTTGTTTTTGTATGCGGTGTCTGGGGTAAATACAGAGTCAATTCGTAGCAGCGCGAGCACGGCGTGAGTTACGAAAACACGATTTTTGAAATCAAACTGTTACGATCTTATCGAGACAACATGCAGTATCATATTTCATATTAATATGAGCAAATTGGAAAGGAAATTAGTATTTTCGAGAAGGCGTGGACGAATGATCGCGAAAACACATACTGCACGTTGTGAATAATAGCACCAAGTACACGATAAAAATCCATTACTAGCCAATTGCGGTATCCAATCAGGATACAGGAAGACAGTTTCCTATCCAGGGTTTACTATTGGAAACGCGGTTGGAAATAAAGTAAGCACTGGGGACGAGGTTGCGTCTAGGCCAACTCCTAAATCTCCCCCGAAAAATGGGGAAAACTAGTGCGCATGCGCGACTTCAGCAGGCGTAACTGTTCATTTTCAGTCCCACACATACTACTCACGACAAATGAGCTGACCAGTGAAGATGCACAAACGTCTTGCTGCATCTTCCACATTACTGGAAGAAATTTGAGCGTTTGCTTCGGAACTATATACTGTGATTTTTTTTTTGAATGCGCGCTGCATATATATATTAGGCCAAACAAGTGCGCGCGCATTACACAACCAGTACGAATTGGCATAGACGTTGTAAGTTCCGACGGGTTCGAGGGTGATTGGTTGGTCGTGATAGCGCCCTTATCGCTGGGCGGGGCAATTTTGTTTTTCGCGTATCAGACCATAACAACGTCTAGCCCCTAAACTAGTTATTATATGCTAATAATGATTCCAGTACATGTATTCATGACCAAACACCGTGATGTCATTAGGCAGATGAAATCTTCAGTGTTACAGTTGTTTCAGCATTGAAAGCTAGCAGAATTTCAGGACGGTTGCCCATGCGTGGTCCACTTCGTGCTGTCTTTGGTGTTTCGTTGTTAACAGTAAGTCACTGAGCAAACTCGAGGTCCCACTCTGGAAAACACCTTCCTGCCTGCCTACTATATACATTCCCTGCAAAATTAGTTGGGTTTTTTTCTTTCAATTTCGGATCCCCAGAAAAGATGGCTTAAACTCTTTACAGTGATATCTGTATGAACAATTAGTACTTAGGCTAAAATACAGACGACACGCTTCAAGGTTTAGTTTGGCGTATGTTGTGACTGTAAGATAAGCGCCCAGCCAGTGCGTTTACTCCCTTTGTTCATAGGCGTAGCCAGGGGGGGGGGGGGGTACCCCCATCTTTTGTAAAGACTGCCCACTCAAATGCCCTTTTTTAGACCCCCCCCCCAAATATTGGTAAGGAGTGCCCTTCTTTTTTCTGAACAAGTGCCCTTTAGGCCAAAAAAAATAAGTCTCCGGTTTCTGGTATAGAGCTTGTCCAAAAAGTGGTGCGGCGACGCGGCTTTTTTTTTTTTTTACCTGACTTTTTTGCTTCAAATGTCGGCTGATGACTGCAAATGGTGCCCGACTATACTTAGTGCAAATATATGGGAGTCCAGAGAGGCCACATAAAGCTTATTCTCGACCATAACCTCATCTAAAAACACGTTAAAATTGTGCAGTAGCAGGATTCCAGTCAAACCAGTGAGTTTGGCGGTTTTGAGACATCATCTTTCATTGAAAAAAAACCTTTTTCATTTTGCCGACGCGCATGGCTACGGCGACGCGCGCGCATACCAGAAACCGGAAACTTTTTGTTTTTGGCCTTAACAACCATTTTTTTTTTGGAACTTCGCGCATGTATGGCCTTGAAAAGCACCATATATTGTCCATTACGTTTTGGACAATCGTCGTTTTGAACAGCACCCCCATCGACAAATGGTACGCCCCCACTATTTGATTTGATTTTACGGAGGCCAAGTGTCCGGAGGATCGGGTCCAACTGATTTGCATAAAATAGTGGCCGCATGAGGTCGCTGTTCGCGCTGTATTTTTACATGCACTGTAAAGCGCGCGAGGATATGCCGCCGATTGATTACCGCGTATGCCGCGTACGGGACAAATAACGACGAGAGCCTTGACCAAGGCTACTACAGCTAGGATTTTTTTTTTCAGTAGGGGGCCAGGGGGCCATTGGCATCGGCATTTCCCCCAAAATCCCTATATTTTCCAGCATTTTCCCGATTGATCATTTTGTCTAGGGTGGGCAGGGACATTGCCCCCCCCCCCCCACCCAACCCATTAAATTAACAACAATATGATTTTGCGCCTTTTTTTCTTCCATTCCACAACTTTTTCCCCCCTTTTTTTGGCTTGTCCGGGGGGGGGGAAGCTCCCCCCCCCCCCGCGACGCCCATGACCAGCAGTTCTGTAGTCTGGTGGCCTTTTGTGACGTAGCAGCGGTTTTTGGCTTCGTCTATATTATACGTATTTCAAGCGTCAACTTTTAAAGCCAGACTGTCAAAAAAAACTGGGCCACATAAAAACCAATGTATTCAATTCACTGTGATATTCACCCTGACATTATCAGGTTCCACACTAGGTTCAGAATTATACACAAAGAAAACGCCTTTAATGTACAGAACGTTTTGAAAGCTTCACTGCACTTCAGTGAGGCCTACGCTGCCACCTTAAATGTCCTCACGCACGTCCTCACGTACTAACTTAAGCTGAAGATTCTAAGTACATTTTAGTAAACATATATAGGCCATATCGCTCTAATAGCTCATTCGATTAAACAAAGAAAGCCTAGCTGTAGGTTGGCATTTGCTTTACTAAACATGGTAGAACCGTATTTATTGAGAATTGGGCAGAGAACGAAATCAGGTTTTGCGGTAATACTATTAAGAAAGAGAATAAAAATTCAATACAATACTGTTTGTTCAATCGGACATTACGTTGATAAGTTATGGCTGTTTAAAGTTTGCATTTATCGACATGTCAAAAAGGAAAAATACTAAGAAAAGGGCCTTTTCGACTGTATCGACTTTTTGAAGTTTCGACTGTATTGTAGTCGTGATAATGAAAGATGCCAATTGTTTTTCTTTAAAATAAAACACTTTATTCCACAATTTGTATACACTTTCATTCCACAATTTCCTTAAATATGTGTAGTAGACATATCAAAGATTACAAATATCAATAAATCTGATAATGGAAAAAACAAATCACCCCCAATTTTTTTTTTTGCATTTTTCTCCACTACGGCTTGTGCCCAGTTCCGTCTCATAGCAGGGGAAGGCACACACTTTCAACCTTCCCCAGTTATCGTCAACACGAACAAAATCATTTCCCATACGTATTTGAAGGCCTCGGCTTTAATTTATTTCTCAAAATAAATGTCGGTTAAAACACGAGGCATTATAAGAATACTATTATATAGTGACTCTTCATAAATTCGACATTATACTTTCTACTGCAATTTGGTAATGAGTTCTATTATTGTGGTGCTCAGAAAGCGAGGTCGTGCAAACAATTAAAGTCCAACAAACACGATGCAATCCACTAAATAGTAATTATTTCGCTAGTCAAGGCAAACGTAAAATTGAAGGCATTCAGGTAATTTAAGATATCTTTAATTATTTCAAGATATCGCAAAACATTTCGAAGATTTAAAAGCCTCGTAGTGATTATTTTGGGCTCTTAAGGCTACCAGTCCCTTAAGCACCGGCGTAACTACGGTAAAACTTCAGGGGGCACCAAGGGTGCATACATTTTTCAAGGGACACGGTTCAGAACCGTGTCACTTCAACAGTGCAGTATACAATGCTTCTGAAGGCCAGTTTAAACACTTTTCTCCGGTGTTTAAACGATGGTTTAAAGCCAGCCATGGCGATGCTCTTGACCAATAAAAAGGGGTAAACTGTCATAGCTGTAATTGAATGCTAATTGAAAAGTTAGAAAATGCCAAGGGCGGATCCAGAAGACAATTTATGTTGGGGGGGTGTTTAAAAAAAATTACGGCGTGTTTTTTTTTTTGGATTCTAGATACTCTGTGGTGCGATCTGAGGCAATTTCTGACCACTTTAACCAATGTTTTTTGAGGAAAAGATGGTGGTGTACTCATTGCCTGCCTTTATTGCGAAGTCACTAAAAAAAAAAAAAAATTGGATTCGTTTTTTTTTGGGGGGGGGGTGGTGGGGCATTGCCCCCTTCCCCCCCCCCCCCCCCTGGATCCGCCCTTGGAAACTGCGTGACTTCATTTGACAATTTCAAGCTCTGAAAGGAGCTTCCACATGTCAAAAAATTGACAAAAATAAGGCCCCGAAAAATTGACAAAAATAAGTCCCCATAAGTTTCTTACAAAACACAACTACCTAATTTTTATTTTTCAAAAAAAAAGGCAAACAAAATACATCAAGTACTTAACAAAAACTGTTTGTAACAGTTGGAAAAGATGTTAATCAAAAGTTTGTAAATGGAGGCAAAATATGTGCAGTAATGTTATAGTCATGTGGTATTTATCACAAATCGCTAGAATTCTAGGAATACATCTTAAGTATGGTGTTCCATATGTGCCATTGGCGTCGCATTCGTGGGCGTCGCATTTTTCAGCTCTGTGGCAGGGATCATTTTGATAGATTTCATGCAAGACTTTCATGCAAGGCGGCCACAGCTTATTGTGCACTCGCACTTGTTTTGTTACGTAATGAAATTTTAAATCAAACTATGTGTAGAGCTCTGAGTAGGCCTATATAATAAAGGCCTACTGTGTTTTTGAAACACCAATCTCATCAGGCGTATTATAACTACAAAATTAATGTAAAGATGGGTTTCAATTATCGATTCCTTTCGATATCGATTTCCAGTCCCGCTAGTTGTTGACTGATTAAATGTGATTAATAGCAGCCAATCACTTCAAACCTCATGCAGCACCAAAAGTTCCATACAGTGGGGTGAATGCGCAGGATTCTGGTGCGCAATGCCAACGGGAACCGAGCGGTTACCAACGTGTTCCTGTCCGAGTTACCAGCAAACTGCAACAACAAAATCAAAATAGTCGACTTGTTTTAATACCGCATCCTGTCGTGCCATATTATTATAGGTTTTCCCGGTTATTTTAATACTTGTATTACACGAATTCCCTGCATCGATGCTTTAACTTTGTCCCCGAATATCGCCAAGCTCAATTCTCAATCTGAATTTCAAAAAACCACTACTAGATTTCATGTAAGGTTCAGTGTAATTCAAATTTTTAGCATACCGATTCGTCCTATATTTGTGAAATTCGTCTAGTGTTGCAATCGGCGTTGAATTGAAAAAGCAAATTCGTTTTTTGTCATTCGTTTTAATGTTGCTGTCATTACATTTCGTTTCTGGTGACTTAAAACATAACGATTAGAAAGTGTGCCCAATCTGTGGACTTATTTAAATATATAACAGTGCGCATTAATAAAAAGTATACTTTCAACATATAATTATTTCCTTTATACGTATAAATAAAAGTAGTTAGCTGTAGGTTTTTAATCTTCTTTTCTTAATTAACATTATAATCAGGAATTGACATTTTACAATTGTACTCTTGACTTATGACATGGAACTTAAGGATTAACACATTCGTAATACCGTTTGCTCT